GCATGCTAAGAGTCCCAAAAGTATCAAAAAAGAATGTTAAAGTTTGATTTGTTGCCACAGCAACAGTATCAAGATATCAAGAATCCATTCACAGGTCTACATCTGCTGTATTTTTACATTATACAGATGAAGTTTGAAGCAAATCGGTTTAAAAATAAAGAGGGTGATATCAAAGCATTTTGAAAGTGACACACTTCCTGCTGCCAGTTGGTGGCGCTATAATTGACTCACAATAGTCACATCCATGTAATCAGCCTCTTACAGTGAACACACTGCTGAAGTTTCATCAAGATCAGTTAATGTATGCTGAAGTTATAACACACTTCCTGTTTCACGTTCTCGCCATAATTTGTTTCCTCGCCACGGCCAAACCGTTCGAGATATCAAAAATCCCCTCGCAAACTTTCATCCTCAATGCCTTGACTTCATGCTGACCGAGTTCGTGCCGTGTGTTGAATTCTCTAGGAGGAGTATTGCACATTCCATTGCGAGCGTTTTACAAACAAACCTCAATAGCCGACTTCCTGTTTGCTGGGGTAAAAAGTAAGAGCGCGAGGTATAGATGAAACGATGAGATCAACATGTGTACCGAGTTTCATATTATTACATGCAAGCGTGTTTGATTTATGGACCAAGTGTTCGGACCCCGTTCCAGGGGGCGCTGTCTAGCCCCTGCCACACCCAGGTACCATCTTCAGCCCTGCTCTGATGGCTGTGGGATCTGACCTGGTGCAAAGTTTCAAGAGTTTTCAAACCCGTTAAGGGCCCCAAAAAGCCGCTAAGAGTCTCAAAATCATAAAAAAAAGAATTTTAAAGTTTGATGCGTTGCCACGGCAACAGTATCAAAGATATCAAGAATCCATTCACAGGTCTTCATCTGCTATGTATTTACATTATACAGATTAAGTTTGAAGCACATCAGGTAAAAATAAAAGGGTGAGTCAAAGCATTTTGAAAGTGACACACTTCCTGCTGCCAGTTGGTGGCGCTATAACTCTGACTCACAATAGTCACATCCATGTGATCGTCCTCTTACAGCGAACATACTGCTGAAGTTTCATCAAGATCAGTTAATGTATGCTGAAGTTATAACACACTTCCTGTTCACGTTTCTCGCCATAATTTCGTTTCCTCGCCATGGCCAAACCGTTCGAGATATCAAAAATCCCCTCGCAAACTTTCATCGTCAATGCCTTGACTTCATGCTGACCGAGTTTCGTGCGTGAGTTTGAATTCTCTAGGAGTAGTACTTCAAATTCCATTGCGAGTGTTTTATGAACAACCCTAATAACCGACTTCCTGTTGGGCTGGGGTAAAAAGTAATAGTTTGAGGTATATATGAACGATGAGATCTATATGTGCACCGAGTTTCATATTATTACATGCAAGCGTGTTTGATTTATGGACCAAGTTTTCGGACTCCGTTCCAGGGGGCGCTGTCTAGCCCCCTGCCCACGCCCGGTACCATCTTCAGCCCGGCCCTGATGGCCGCGGGTTCTGACCCGTGTGCTAAGTTTCAAGAGTTTTTGAGCATGTTAAGGGCCCCAAAAGTGCCCGAATAGTCGTATAAATAATAATAATAATAATAATAATAATAATAATAATAATAATCCTAAGGAAAACAATAGGGCCTTCGCCCTTTCAGGGCTTGGGCCCTAATAATAATAGTAAAGAAAAATAATCCCAAGGAAAACAATAGGGCCTTCGCCCTTTCAGGGCTTGGGCCCTAAATATAGATTATCGAAGTTTACACACACACACACGCGCGCACACACACACACACACACACACAATCCACGTGCTTTATCAAATGATACTAGTTTTCATGACAATGCTAAAACAATAACTACTAAAAATTCACATGCATTTTTAAAGGTTTTTTTTTCAGGTTATGCCAAATTATTATTTTATAAAATCTTAGTTTCACATCCAATTTCCCCCCAAAAAATGATTTACAGGTTTGCTGATGTTCACTGTAGTGACCCATAATGCTTTTCCTCCAGCCACGTCACACACCGACTAGCAACGGAGCCGAAGCGAAGCCGAACTACGACGAAATGAGACGAACACAGCCAAAGTGTTTTCAAACGTGAGCAAACCCGTCCGCTATGAGACCTACAGGAAGAGCTCAGCGACCACGATAGTACATCTGCAAAATCAATTAGAAAGGATTATAATGTCTTAATATGTTTTAAAACGACTCATGTCAGTAGGTATGTACAGCTATCAGTGATGATAATGCATGCAATATTACTCACGCTAGTCTTGCTATGTTAGCAGTGGCATCTACTCCACATCACTGCGTATAATTGCAATGTGTAGTTTTAATGGTTCGCTTTTAATTAAAGTCTAATACTAATACCCGTATAATTAGATGTGTGATTTTGGTGAGTGCATAGAACCAGACGATGTTACTGATGACGAGCTGTCAGCAAACGTGCTAATGTTATTATATTAGCCTAGCACAACGTTAACAAGTTTCATAGACTAGAGTTAAATATTAAAGAAATACGCGAGTCTAGCCGTTTGCTTATTTATATGTTAATTTAATATCGACTTTGTATATTACATTCTGTTTTGTCAGCATGAAACACGGGAGTGGGGAAAATGAAGCATTGTTTGCATTATTTGCACTGCATGATTCATTTTTGTCCTGTTCTTCCAGGTGTCCACTGAGCTGCCAGTAAGATGTCTATGGTCCTGTTTGCCTCTGTGGTGAGAGTGAGGGATGGTCTACCTCTCTCGGCCTCCACTGACTATGAACAGGATAAGGGGCTTCAGGAGACCAAGAAACATCTCAAGAGTCTGTCCAAAAAACTAAGCCAGTTTCCTAATCGCTGCTCACATAGATCTGGCATATACAACATCAAGTGAGTTATCATTGCAGTTTGCTTGAGGGTGTGTGTGTGTGAATGTTGTTACACCATTTTAACACTGTCTTCAGTGTGAAAACAAACAGGTGTTTGCCGTGCACTACACTGGAAATGCATTTATAAAGGCATTTATGACAAGGTTTGCTGTCCGCATATAGCCTGGCTAACGTCATACCCAAGTCTCATTGAGATTTGGATCTGGGAACCACATGTTCATTTTCTCGTATTTGAGGCGTGGTTTACGAATGCCCAGAGCTGGTCTTGTAAGCACATGTTCATTTTCTCATATCCACCTTATTCCTGACGACCTTTATGGGTGGCACTTTCGGATTGGGGAACTTCCATTCAAAAAGGCTAAAACGAATCATTTTGAATCATACGGTTGCCCTACAAATAAAGCTGATTTGTCAGTTTGACTGGATAAACTGTCAATTTTCCTTCATGATTTATTTTCAGACATCATGAGAATAACGTTATACTTGGTATTTTAACGTGACATGCTATAACAAGAATATCAATGGCAACAGCTCTTTACAGTCGCTGCTTTCTTTTCCTCATGATGATTTTTATTTTTTTCCTTTGCAATCCGCTGTAAAAGTATGAAAAAGGACACCGTATATGGCACATTTGTGGTCTGATCTCCCGAATTTAATTTACGATATTCCATTAATTAATTCACTGGAATACACGAAGAGTCTCTCGTTATTCTCCTCAAATCCTCATGTCCCTTTCCAGGTTTGTTTTCACAGGTAAAGTAATGAACATTTTTTGATTAAGGCTTGTTATACAATACAGATATTTGCCTACTACAGTGATATTTAACCAAAGACTTGCACATATGCGGCTATTTTTGGTCTGTTGAAAGTACATGTTGATTCTTTTAAACTTTTACATTTTATTTTAATGTTCGATGGTTGAAGGGTGAGTCGATCAGTGATACTTTTTTTTAACGTTTTGCGTTCATACAGCGAGCCTTTCACTGATTGTTTAAAGCTTAACGGAAGTTACACCCATAATTTGAGCAAAGTGTCATCATAGGGGCGTAGGAATAAGGTGGATATGAGGCGTGGTTTACGAATGCCCAGAGCTGTTTTTTGGGTGCTACGAATGTCTATCAAATGTGCCTGTACATAGCTCATTGCCAGTCGTTTCAATTATACCAGATGACGTTTGTAGAGCGAAAGAAATTAGACGAGGAAGAAGACGATGGCTCAGAGATTTATGTGTACAAGATGGCGTGAATCTAACGGTCATTTCACACCGCATGCGTGAGCGGCGCGTATTTTTCCGGTGTGCATGTTAAAGGAGTATTTCACCCATTTCAACATTAATCTTTTTGAAACTGGGTCATATATGTAGTCGAAATGGAAAATAAATTTTGAATTTGGTGCCGTCTTGACCGAGAACAGAAATTAACTTTCTGTATTAGTATGTAAGATAACAACTCTCACAATGCACCACATTGCACAGCTCCGCAAGCCACACTCACTAATCCAGAACAGCGCAAACATCAGAGATGGCCACCATTCAACCCGAAAGATCATATAACCATTTCAATAACTCCGAAGCTGTTCAGTTAAAGGGATACTTCACCTCTGGAAAGATCAATTTAAATATGTGTATTTAAAATAGGTAATTTATGTAAAAGAAATGTGAATTTATTTTTTTTAATTTGGAGCTTTTTAGACTGAGAAAAGCCAGAAAATGAATTTTTGCTCTGTTACACGTCTACCGGTAACAGAGTACAGAAGTTAAACAACAAATCTAGGCTACTTCCTGATGAGTCTGCCCAAAAAATGTGTTTCGAGATCAGATTCAGTTAGATTGAAACAAAAGATCTGCATGTAAACAATGAATGGCGACTGCAGAAAGCAAAAGCTGAATCCCGGACATCGACGGCCGGACATGTCCGGGAAAAAGAGGACGGTAACCCCTAAAGTTACTACTCCGCTTTCTCCACAGAACAAGAGCCTGCTAGCTTAGCTTCCAAAAAAGCTGGCTGGGGAAAATGAGAGAGTGTTGCACGACCATTCAATAGTATAACTGGGTTTCTAACAATGGAAATCTTAATGTAAATGGGTGGAGTGACCCTTTAAGCTAGAAAAACTGCATAGCGTCCCTTTAACTTAATTAAGTAATTCCGCTAAAATCTCAGTGATACGCAAGCTTCCAGTATAGTATTCTGTCACACTATTTAATATATATAATAGATTTTATTTTTATTGAATTTTTTTGTCCTATTGTGTGACAGTTCCTCAATATTTAATTTTGTGCTTAGTTTTCTCATGCATCCATTTTGGAGCTTGACAGGTTGCTACTGTAGGTGGTGACAAGTAAAAAAAAAACCTCATTGAATCATTCATTCAAGAGATTTGTTCAAAAACGCTGTTTCATCCAGTAATAAAACAAGTGAAGTATTTATGAGTTATTGAATCATTCATTCAAACAGATTAAAATAAATAAATAAATAATTTAACAATTTTAAAGACTGCTGCAATTACCATTTTGTCAGAACCTCTTACATTAAATTACAATATTTGTTTTAGTTGTCTTCAGAATCCTGAAAGAAATATGATCTCAATTTGGAGAAAAAAAAAAAAAAAATCATGAATCCCAATTTATCCAGAATTGTGCAACTCTAACATTTAGAATGTCTTCAGTGACTAAATGATGACAGATATTTCATTTATGGGTGACCATCCCTTAAATTAAAACATCCCAGCAAAAACAAATGACACAGTGAGGGTGGAGTGCTCTGATTGCCAATTGTTCTGATGCCAAAAACTTCCCCTTCAGGAAGGTCTAATTCAGATGCGTTGCACTGAGAGACCCAGGGGTGACCATTTCATAGCCTGGCTGCTATTCATCACTCCAAACTTCACAAGCAGGCAGAAACGAGTCATCTCTTTCTCCCCTCTGGAGGGCCTCAATGGATCGTTTCATCTCTCAAACAGACGTTAACATGGAGAGACACGTTGACAGAGTTTCTTCTTTCCTGAGGCGAGTTACTAAACTGTTCAGATCCAGAGCAGGTGTAAAACAGAGGGTGAAGGGTGATTTTTATACGCTTTGGATATTTGGATTCTCATGTCCTTGGAATGGACTTTCAAGTCTATTGAATGACCTTCCCCTCTCTGTGACATGTTTTCACACGTTGCGTCCCCAACACTGTCAATGTATGTCAACATAATTTGTCCTTAACTAAATTGAAATTAAATGGACTCTTAAAGTGTGATGCAAACTATGACTTCTCTTGCCTTCCATAGTTTTACAAGCTCTCTCGGAGTTGGCTACATGATGGTTTGCACAGAAAACTATCCCAATGTCCTGGCCTTCAGCTTCCTGGACGAGCTTCAGAGAGAGTTCATTGTCACGTATGACACCAAACGGATCAACAGCGCTTTGAGGCCTTTCTCTTTTATTGAGTTTGGTGAGTTTCTTGAGAGGATTGTGACAGGTTTCAGAAATCTGTTTTTCCAGAAGGGGACTATAATATTTTATATAATATTATATAAAAATAAAATAACATTTAAAGCTTTGGGGTCAGTAAGATTTTTTTAAATGATTTTGAACAGTCTCTTATGCTCACCAAGGCTGCATTTATTCGATCAAAAATACAGTAGAAACTATATATTATAATGTATATTATGAAATATTATAATTTCTATGTTAATATTGTTTTAATTTAATATATTTCTATGAATTTTCAGCAGCTATTGCTCCAGTCTTCCTCAAGAAGCATTTCTTATCAGTATCACAGTTGAAAACAGCTGCTTAATATTTTTGTGGACACCACAATATATAATTTCAGGATTCTTTCATGAATAAAAGGGTTATAACAACATTTAATTAAAATACAAATTGTTCGTAATATTATAAATGTATTTAGCATTTTTGATCAATTTAATCCATCCTTGCTGAATAAAAGTATCAATTTATTTAAAAAGAAGAAAGTAACTGACCCCCAAATTAGTTTTAATTTGTTTTCAGAATATAAATTCTCAAAATTGCATCATGTGTATCTTCATCTACATGATGTCTTATGAACAACCCTCAAGTCAGTAGTGATTCTGTTTTAACTTTCCTGAACCTTAAGTACACAAAAGATACCTTTATTTTGAAATGGATATCACTTAAATTAATAATAACTTGTAGTCGAGTGAGTCAGATGTTGATTCGGTAACCATTATGAACTGTTTTCTCCAAAAGCATTGTAAGCCAAAGTAGATTGGTCTCTATGACCTGTTTAGGCTAACAGTGCTTTTGGGAAACGCTGCCCTGATGGATTTATCTGGCTAATTCAAACCAATAACCATGTTTTTTTTATTATTATTATTATTATTAAAAGTATCTGTTTAGTGTCTAAAAGAGTCAGGAGAACTCTTATTTAGTTTTTATTCAACACTGAAAAGTAAGTGTAGTAATTAGTTCCACTTAAATTAGTTCTACATGGGCAGTTTCCCAATTTTATGCATTAGTTGAGTCTCCGAAGAGCATTATGCACATGGTGAGTTTGAGTAAACATTAATGGAGTTACATCTTATGTGGAACATTTAAATGTAGTCACTTATGAGGCTCCATTTTGGCTAGGAGTCTTTGGATTTATCTATATAAAAATAAATGTATCCTTCAGACTTTCCATTTAATGTGATTTGAAATTGAACTGAAGCCATTTGTAACATATAGACCATGTTGTGATTAAAGCATCTATTTACTGTGCCGTTTCTATGGTTTCGACAGATAACTTCATTCGGAAAACCAAGCAACGTTACAATAGCCCACGTTCCCTCTCCACCAAGATTAATCTAGCCGACATGCAGACTGAGATCAAGCTCCGGCCTCCTTATCAGCTCTCCGCGGAGGACATTGGATCAATCAACGGCTTCTCAGAACACAAGCAGTCTAAATATAAAGGCATTGGTAGGGAAAACAACTTGTAAACTTCCCTTTGTTCTCAAGAAGTAGAACATTTTGAAAGACCACTCAGAAAATAGCCTAGCATCATGGCAGAAAGTTTTGCTCCACAGGTTTCCTGAAGCAAATTTTAAAATCGAGTTACTTTGCAACTGTTTGACACGGATTTTCTGCTTTTTTTTTTTTTTTTTTCCTGCAGCACCTAATCAAATGTTGGAGGCCGTCACCCTGTCGGGTATCGTCGCCTGCATCCTAAGTGTCCTGTGCGGCGCTCTTAATTTGCTGCGGGGAGTCCACGCAATAGAAAGTGTATTGCAGGTAAGTTAAATCATGCACTGATGTTCTTGCACTTTATTTTGGGCTTTGTTTCTTTTTATTGATTAACACATTGGACTAAACATTACTTGTGCCATTGTAATATAATTAATCATACCTAAAGGATAGTGACAGCACTCTTGAATAATTTGTCAGACTTCGCACTTTGATGTAATGTGATTTTCCTCTACCATAAACAGAACAGTTTTGCTTTGCTTTTTATATTGCACTGATAAGTGAGCCCTCGAGTCCTGACTCTTCCTTTCTAACTCATCCTGTTTTAGCACATGGCTTCCTGTTGTAATTTGTCCACTCTTAAACACAGCACGCTGTCTTTTCTTCTTTTCTGCTCCATCTGCAGAATGAGGATGAAGACTTTAATTACGTAATTGCTTTTTTCCTTGGAACCGCGGCCTGTGTGTATCAGGTAAGTGACGGCAGTCAGACCGTGAATTACTGTTGGCCTGCCAGACTTCATTTCTTCTGCTCTCTGTCTTGGTCTGACCACCCAGTGCTAATATATCACACTTTTCCTCACTGTCGTGTAAAAGGAAAATTGTGTTATCTGGAAAATTGGAGAAACATTGCCTTTTTACTAGCATCAAAAAACAGCAACTGGAGTTGTAGATGTTTCAAAACCCTCACTCATATTCTGCACAGGGAAAAAAAAAAAAAAAAAATATATATATATATATATATATATATATATATAATACTAATCTAAAATCAGTATTTTTGCTTGTTTGTTTCCCTTTAAAACTATTTAAACATCCCTAAAACAAAATACATTTTTAGTTGAGAAGCAAAAGTGAGATTACAATATTAAGACTTTTTTCAGGACTTTTTTCAACACTACCCTTTATTAACCTGTTAACTGTCACCCCCCCCCCCCCCCTTTTTTTGAATAGACATGAAAATGCACATTTCGAACTTAAATGGTTGTAATTCAAGAATGCTTTGGAATATAGACATATGATTGGTCTTGTTTTAAAGAAGACATTTGGCAGATTTTTGTAGAAGTGAAATAAATTAAGAAAGTAAAACAGAAAAAAAAGTTATAGAAGTTTGAGTTTATGGAAATGTACAATGCAAAAATATTAATTATTCATATTTTACATAAAATATATATTTTCAAAACCTGGGCTACTCTAAAATGGCAGAAAGATCAAAGCCAAAAATCTGAACAAGTTGTGTTTCAAATTTTAGGTTGATATCTCAAAAAATGAGCTTTCAGTAAGATTTTGTTTGAGCGCAGTACCAAACTTTTTCACTAGGGCACAATCAGACTCCATTACTGCCCATATAAGGGCGCCTGCATTTCCATTCGTGTTTTGAGTGATATGAACCATTATTTTTAGGGATGCACCGAAATGAAAATTTTTGGCCGAAACCGAAAACCGAAAAAGAGGAAACCAAGGCCGAAAACCGAAACACCGAAAGAAATTATGCCATTTATTAGTATCATTGCATTTATGGCTATGACTGTGTACAAACTTAACTAAAATCAAGGCATTGCAATTGCATAAATTAATATAACATTTTCAAAGAATAAATCAATTACAAATTATGCAAATATATATTTAGCACAATGCACAGTATAAAATAAAATTCAAACTAAAATGTTTAACTTGACCCCACTTATGTGTACACTAAATAATAATCTACTGGCCTGCAGAAAGGTTTTAAAATGAAACGTTCTCTCAAAAACAAAGCCGAGCGCAAACTTCTCATCACATTAGCACCCAGTTTGCATGTCTAAATTAGTTACATTTTAAAAAATTTAGCATACAATATAAAAAGCCTTTACAATGGTCCATGTTTAATAAATGTACATGAAACTTAATGAAACATTTTTAGTGAATGTAGAAAATATTTAAGAGAGCAATAATTTAGTTCTATACATGTTCCCATAGGCTATACATATTTTTTTTGTAATGTCACAAGTAATAATCTCAGGGTTTACTGGGTTTTACATGATTATTTTTGTATTGGTGGTGGAATACTAAAAAATAAACATTGTCATGTATTTATCTGTCTTCTTCCCACCGATTCCTGATGGTTAGAGGACAGTTACTTAAGTCGTCCCCTGTCGTTTCAAGGAATAGTAACAGTTGCAACGGAGAGCGCGTCAAGTATAAACGCCTCGACCGTTTGGAGCGGTGCACGCGCTGTTTGTGGAGACTCGCGCTGCCTTGTTTACTTTCGCCTGCCTCCGCAGCGCGAGTCTAATTTATAATTTTTAATTGTTTCCTGCTCTAAACAATGCGTGCCGCCATGACGACGACTCCGGTTCCGAGCGGGTCAAGAGCGGTGCGCGCGCTGTCCGCAGCGCGTGTCTCCACAGACAGCGCGCGCACCGCTCTTGACCCGCTCGGAACCGGAGTCGTCGTCATGGCGGCACGCATTGTTTATAGGTGGATAAACAAGGTTTCCGTCTCATCGCGGTTTCAGATACACTGAAATACGTCCACACCGCAGACATGTTGCTTCAGACAAGCACGTGCGTCGCGGTTTCTGTTTGCGTCGCCGTCATCACAACATTTCGGCCGTATTGTTTCAGTGATAAAAGTCTTTCGGCCGAAAACCGAAAATGCACTTTTGGGCCATTTTCGGCCGAAAATTCGGTGCATCCCTAATTATTTTCACAATTTTCATACAATTTCTGAAGTAGAGATCCTATTCAGAAGTAGTATGGGAAGTTTGGCATATTTTGATATGAATTGAACCTCTAAGAAACACATACAAAGAACACGCATGAAAGTCATAGCTAGCTGCCACGTCACAAATGGTGAATTTATTATTTTTTTCTTGATATTTCAAACTTTTCAGACCTTTTTTTTTCCAAAATAATTGAATGGATTCTATCTTTTGAACTTTTGGCATGAAAACAAACTGAGGTATCTACCATTTTTTCATGATTTTTCATGTTTACTGCTATTTTAAAATAAAGGTCTGAACACGCCTTATGAGTATGAAAATATTCTTGTTTTATATTGATAAATTATGGCTCCTCTGTAATATATTTTGAAAATCAGTCACCAAATATGGAAACTAGAGATTGTAAGCTTTCAAATGATATATAGTTTGTCAATATTATTTAAGGTATTTACTAAGATATTATTGTTTTAAAAATATAGTGGCAAACGTCCCACCTGTGGGACGGTGACAGTTAAGTGGTTTTAAATACTTTTTAAAATAACTTTTTAAATATGTACATCCTGAAAAAATGTATCACTGTTTTGGCACAACAACTGTTTTCAACATTGACAGTAATAAGAAATGTTTCTTGAGCACCAAATCAGCATATTAGAATGATTCCTGAAGTATCATGTGACACTGAAGACTGGAGTAATAACTTCTGAAAGGGGGTGGAGATGGTTATGATTAGGTCGGGTTAGGGATCAGGGGTCGGAGATGGATAGGATTGAGGGTAGGGTTAGGGATCAGGGGGTGGAGATGGGTATGATTAGGGTGGGGTTAGCGATCAGGGTGTGGAGATGGTTAGGCTTAGGGGTGGGTTTAGGGATCAGGGGGTGGAGATGGGTAGGTTTAGGTATATAAAAGGTGGATTTTGTGTTCTGCAGTGAGGACCATCTCAAAGATCCAGCTTTTCACCACAGGAAAAAATGTAAAAAAAAATGTAAAATATAAAAAAAGCAAACAGATATTTTAAATCGTAATAATATTTCAAATTATTTTTGATCAAAAAAATTGCAGCCACGATTAGCACAAGAGACTTCAATTAGCATAAGACCGACCCCATAGTTTGCTTAATGTATTCCTCTTGTTTCTTTTTCTATATGTAGTGTTATTTGTTCATCTACTTCTCAGTTTGGAGGAACATCAAGTCATTCCTGGCCTTCGCTATGATCTGCCTGTCCAACATGTATCTGTATGAACTCCGTAACATGTGGCAGATCCTCTTTCACGTGACGGTGGGTGCGTTCATCACTCTGCAGATCCACCTGAGAGGGCCGCAGGGCAAAGCACCAGACTACAATGTTTGACCCCCTTGAACTCTTGTAAGACTGCCTAACAGCCCAGCATTTCAACCCAATCTGCGGATAAAAGAACTATGGATTGTGAAGCAGGTTTTACATATTGTTTTGATATCGCTCAAGATACACTTCCTGCTGTTTCACATCCAGTTGAACTCAAAGATGGAAAGCTGCTGTTTTGGTTGAAGCAAAAGGTTCATAACAGTGAATTCATTCACGCACAATATTGGATTCATGCGTGAAATATTAAAGCAAATTGCTAGCAGGTAATTCAAATGTGCACAATTAATATATTTTCCAATAGGGAGGCATTGTAGTTATTTATAGTTTTAATTGACATCAGGGCTTAAAGAGACAGCTCACCCAAAAATGAAAATTCAGTTGTCATTTCTTGAAGAACGTGGCTTTCCTCCACACAATGAACGTGGACGGTTACCATGGTCTGTCAAAGTTAAAATAAAAGCATCAAACTACTATAAATACTTAAATATATGCATATTTTGTACTAACGTAAGATACGTTTTTTCTATATGCACAATCAAAATCTTTAACTCTATTGTTTTATTTTTAATTTGATTGGCATTTTACTTTGTAGTTCCTTCCCTCGTTAAAGCCACTGTCTCGTAATTCTTTTTGTCCAATTTTTTTTTTTTTTGCTTCGCAAGTTCGCATTAAAGTTTGTAATGTTGTGATTCATTTTTTTAGCTGTTCATGAGTTCATGGTAACTCTTTAATGAAGGCTATGTGAAACTCATTTCCTGAACTAAGGGCACTGAAAAAGTGTGTGGGTACTGTTTCACTCTAGCTTTGTGTGAGAAACGGGCCAAAATGTAAGTTATTATTAAATAAAAATATCGCTTGACAATTGTGGTTATTCATGGTTATTCATGATATATGGTATTGTAAAAAGCTGCTTAGAAATTGTAGTTAACATCTCTTTTTCTGTTCCACCAAATAAAGAAATGATTATGAATTTTCATTTTGGGTGAAGTCATCATTTTAGAATTCTTTTAGAGTGGGTTATGTTATGGTTAGGGTTATTTTAGGGACAATTGTTCATCTATTTTGATTGTTAAAGCCAACTCGTATGCAATACATTTGATAGTTGCCTCTAGTCTATATATTTTAAAAAAATGTAATTTTCTCTCGCATTTTCATTTTGTCATACAGCTTTGTTTGAGTGTCACTGTGTTTGTGGTCATTAGTCAGACGTCTCTTCCCTGAAAGCATAATCAGATGTGTTATTTATCAATCATGTCTATGCTGCCTGCAGGTGTGCAAATGAATGTGTCTGGCTAAGAGGAAAATGGAATCGCACTAATATACAGACTCCACTGTTTGTTTTTCCTATTTGCTGCCTTTTGTCAACGGGTCTGTTCAGTGACCATGCTGAGCTGAGTAATGTTTTATTCTGTTTCTATTCACCTGGCTTGTTTTGATGATTGACAGATTTAGGGTCAAGGGGTTTCAAAATTCCTCTGATGTACATGCATTTCCTTTTTTTCTTTCCCACAAGTGTCAGTGATCTAAGATTGCAGCTGCATTTTTGCATTGCAAGTACCTCAATGCTCTCTCTCTCCAACAGTAGTACATTGCCCATTGGCCTAATGTGTGTTTGTGCCATGTCCTGAAACCATCAGTAAAAACCTTGAATTTGTATGAATATGCTTGCATGTGTTTTTGTTAAATGCATTTGACACATTTATGAAAATCAAAGGGCTAGTTCACTCAAAAATGAAATTCATCATCATATTCTCAACATGAGGGTCTTTCTTCTATTGAACAAAAAGTAATATATTTTTTAGAATGTTGCTAACCAGACAGTTGACAGTAGCCATTGACTTCCATAGTATTTGTTACCCCCCAATGGAAGTCAATGGGTGCAGTCAACTGTTTTTAGTCACCAACATTCTTAAAAATATATTATTTTGTGTTCAACAGTAGATAGAAACTTATACAGCTTTGAAAAAACTTGAGGGATGAACTATCCCTTTAACAACTTGAGCAGGGGTAGCTTTCACTACTCGGATGAGACAATTTTTTCAAATTAAAGGTTGTAATGTTGTGATTGCTGTTTGGCTTGGTCCATGGCTTATAACTCTTTAGAGAAGACTTAAAAAAAAAACCTTTATAAGGAAAAAAATACTTCCGGAACCAAGGCCACAGAAAAAGTGTGTGTGTATTATTGCACTCTAGCTTTGTGTTGTTATTCACTATAAATCTTGCACGATGGTCGTTGTAATTGTATGATAAAATGCTGCTTGGGCGAGATTTATCTAAAAATGTGCGCTTTTCACGTTTGAAAATGATTGTAATATGCATTTCTGAGTCAGTGATGTCAAGTGTGGGAAGAAGCTTTCGCAATTTATAAACTTCCTCCTATTCTCAAAACCTAAGAGCTGCAATAATGAAGATGATGATGGTAATTGGAACAATGTACTTGGCTTATAGAAGTGTGACTAATGCAAGTAATGTTCTAGGTGATGCAGTGGATGCTATGTGAAAATTGCAGCCCATTTAAGCTTATTTGTACCAATGAGGGGGGAAAGTCTACATTTATGACGTCTCTGTTATTGATGTTATTTTTTTCCAGCTTATGTTCACTGCTGATCTAATTTTATAGTTGCACAATAGCCACTTACATTTTTTGAAATATATTTAATTTAACGTATAGGCCTACACATTTGAACAAATATGTATGGAGAAAAAAAAAACTGCTACAACAACAAAAATCACCTTAATTTTCAGCCTTGCGGTTCAAGGCTTTTGTAATGGCATCATCGAGGTGAGAAATGGTTTGAGTTTTTGTTTCTTTGATTTTTATGACATTGTGTTTCGCCTCAGGTCTTTCTAACCTTTTGACTGCTGGATCAAACCCAAACCAATCGGCCATTAGTCTGTTTTTAATGTCAATGAAATGCCAGTCCCACGCCCAGCACAATGGCCTTTCTTTAATGCATCATAAAACAGCTTTGCTCAGTCAAACTGACCAGATTGGACACATGCAGACTAAATTCAAGTGAACTCAAACGGGGGTATTTCACAGGCACATTATTAAGATAAGAAAGGTCAGGTATGCCAGTGGGGAAAATGGACTGAAATTATGTGAATTATAACATGCTTGGGTGGGTGACCATTCAAACAACCACTCTGTGGGGTTCCTGTTCTTTGTTCTCATTTTTCTGGACACATTTTGTTTATGAATAGGCTACTCTGAAAAAAAAAGCTCTGTATTTGAAGTTCAAAAACAAAAATAAGGAAAAAACAAAAGGTGCATAAAACTAACAATGTGGTTAAACTACTAACCAGTAGCCTATAATGAGAGCTGCATACGTTTTCATACAGAAACATTGGCACACATTGACATTGAAGGCAAGTAGTCTCCTAAATGTGCATTGAAAGCGCACTGCTGCCACCATCTGGGCATTTAAAGGGATAGTTCACTTTGAAATTAATTTTTGATATGTTTTAGCTTACCTCAAGGGCATCCAAGATGTAGGTGTCTTTGTTTCCACAGCATTTTCAATTTTGACATTTTTTGGTCAAACCGTTCTTGTCTGTCAGTCATATAATGCAGGTATGGGGGTCCACCTCAAAGAGCATGCACAGAGAAGACATAATTAAACATGATTATGACTCGTGAATGTAAGTAGCCTACACACTGATGGCCTAACTAAGACACGAAACGAGCGGTTTATGTGAGAAAACGAACAGTATTTATATAGTTTTTACCTCTTGTTAACAGCCGTCGAACTGGTCTGAATCAAATGTCCAACTGAACCGAACTGAACCGTCTCTCCAACGTTACGCCGGAAGTGATCTCTCGCGTGTCTAGGTCACGCATTGTTTACACAAAGATTTTGGAAGTTTTACCTTTCACTAAACATATTATTTATATATATCGAAATGGTCTTCCATTGCGATTTCCCGTATCTAAATATGTTTAGTGAAAGGTAAAACTTCCGAAATCTCCGTGTAAACAATGCGTGACCTAGACACGCGAGAGATCACTTCCGGCGTAACGTCTGGAGGGAGCATTGAAAAAAAAGGTAACAATATTTTTACATGAGGTAAAAAAAAAATGAAAAAATTAATTTATGTTTAAGTTAACGTCTGGAGCATTGAAAAATAAGGTCAAAATATTTTGGCATGAGGTAAAAAAAAAAAAAAAAAGAATTATGTTAAAGTTAGGTAAGGTGCCACTTCACCTTTAACATAACTGACGTCTAGCTGACGTCCACAAACATCTGAAATTAGATGTCAAAAGAAAGGGCCAATCACAGTTTTAGTATGCAAATATACTAAAGAGGTAACAAATCGACAGATACAATTTCAATGTTTGATTGTTTTTTTTTTGTTTTTTGTTTTTGTCAAGTCAATGTCACCTTCCATTTCCTTCTCTACATGGGACGGCAGTCTGTCTTTTCAGCTTGAGAACACATACACACACACACACAAATGTCCAGAGAAAATAAAATAAATAGACAAATCACAAGGACCCAATTTCAATACAGTGCTGCTTTGCAAACATACTAATTGTAATAATCATAACTACATGGTTTCAGAATGAGTTTAATGTTATAGTTTAATTGGATGTAAAAAAACAAAAACAAAAAATACAGCATTGAGCAATACATGGCATATAAGCAACCCAAGATGAAGCCACTGGAATAGTAAATGCCAGTACTCAGCAGGACAGAAATGTGGTATTTACTTGACATCTCTTATCTCAGTGCTTTCATTTGGATGGCAAACACAAGTGAATTAAAGCTGAAGTTTTTCTGTTAAAATATTCACTCCTCCCAATATGCAGATATAATTCCTACAAGCAAGCCATTCAGAAGTTCAATTCTGTGAAAAAATCAAAACGCTGTGAGAATCCAGACACAGCAACACCGGCTCAACCAATGGCGTTTACGGGCAAGGCTAACTTATTGTTTAACCAATGGCAGATAGGGGGCGTGTCCAATCCAGTTTGGTGCCGCTAACTGTGGAAAAAATGACACACTTCACCTTTAACTTAGGAATCCATACGGCACCCGCACCGTCATTTAAAGGCCATAATACATGTATCACAATGACATTGAATACAAAAACATTCAACCATTTATTTTATTTTCAATTTGCTGGCAAGAAAGTGGCATTTATTTTCTTGTTGGAAATAAAGACTTTGGAAAGGTGACACTGGAAGCCCAGCTGAGTCCAAGTTGAGAGAAATTAGAACAGGACCAAATATAGTTACGGTTACCTAAAGTATTATCATAATCCTCTGTATGGACTTACAGTAAGATCTTACACAGGTAAAGCAAAAAATAAATAAATAAAAAAAACTTTTTATGGACTACCCTACATGTTTGTGTACAAACTCAAATTCTTTACATACAAAGGCCTCATTGGAGAAAATGGACATTCATTGGGTCGTACCATCACACTGAGAGGGAAGGGAATGCTGGTCGTGCTGCAGTGCATAAATGGTGGATATTTGTGGCTTTAACGGAAAGGATCCAACTCGTTGTCCCACGCACCATAAACACAAGGCTAAAATCAATATTTGCAGATGTGTTTGCCAAGCTTTAAACGACTGTGGCTGTTCTGAAACACTCACTTGTCATTTTGTGTCCTACAAATCCATTTTCTTCTTAATTACACTGTAGTGCACTTGACAGGATACAGAAACCCTTTTTGGAGAAAGAACAAACCTATTCTCCTTACTCGGTTACAAGACTAGCTACTGATTTTATTTAAATGGATGCAGCGACAACAAAAAGGGTGACTGATAATTTGCAAATGACCTCTCCCTCCTGTTAAAATGTGCAGGACTGTAGAGTAATGGAATACATATATAATGTCATATATGTATATCTAAATACACATTGGTGTTTACAGACATTATTTAAATATATTAATGTACAAAATATATCATCTAAAATAGCTCTGACAATTTGGCTTTTAGTCTCAGAATATAAAATGTTAAAAATACAAAACAGCCACATTTGGCCATTTTCCTCTGTCTTTAATGGTGTCATCAGTGTAGACAAGTGTATGGGTGTGTAGTTACGCGAATGTAAGTTTGTTTGGAACACAAAGTTGAAGTCTCAAGCCACGTTCATGCCACCAGAAACATGTCCGTTCTTTTTTGTTTCATCCCATCCCTTGTTGACAGGAGGGAAGTCGTAAGTATGCATCATATTAAAGATGAACGAGACTCAGTATGTGTTCTTTAGCACTGTGGACTGCCATTTATCTGTACCGAAAAGCACAAACGCTAGGCTATTTGGGCTCACACACACTTAACTTTGATACGTATAATACGCCTCAGTGTTTAATACTGTCCCTGCGCACACAAAATTGCGTATTACAAGGACAAACGTAAGTCGAGCTGATTCCCAACTACAGTTGCGAAATGAAGACGTTGCATCGTTGGTCCTGGCCACAACCTGGCACTAAAAATGAATGACTTTGGGTCGTTTCAAGTTGCGGGTGGCGTGAACGGGGCTTTATTCTCCCGTTGAGAATGTCACCAGAGGTAACACGGTCAACACTAGCTCCCTTACCAGTAACAACCACAGTCGCTGCGACAAAGTTCTGGGAACCATAAAGGATTTGTAAAGCTGCTGTGCTCTCTATGGCCCTCTACCATATAAGCTCTATTGCGATATCGCCACGCAACAGGACCGTGTGAACAGAACTCTTTAGTCTTTACATACACTGAAGCCAATATACCTGTAAAACACATGTTTTATGTGTATATGATTCATCAGTGTTTTCATGCAGTTTTGATTTGGAGTCGCCAGGACCAGTTGGTTGAGTAAGATCGCAGTCCCGCCACACCTGAGAGAGCCAAAGCCAGGTGCATCTGTCCTCTCTTAGAAATACAAGAATAATAGAAGACTGGGAGAACTGCTTTTTATGCCTTGACATTCCTTTATTTCTTTGGTCTCTGAGGTTGAACGTCTTTCTGAGCTGTTCCATACCTTAAATAAAGGTGGCAAAGCCCTCCGTTAATCCTATAGGAAGTCTCGGTGTGCAAAGAGGCCACTCTTGGACTGGCTTTCCAAACACATCCTATTGTGATTGGTCCAGGAGGTCAACAGCCTGGCTGGCCCGGACCAAAGCGTCTCCTCACCATATCATCTCAGAAGTGTTCTGAATGTCAGAAGCTGAGTGTTAACTGCTGTTGGGTCCTCCGTTTAGGAAGTAGGTCGCCATTTCTCCTTTGCCCTTGACCTTCACAACGCCTCTGTACTCCAGTGTGTAGTTATATGAGCTGAGAACCTGGTAGAGGTCAGTTGTGACCTGATACAGAGAGAAATGAAGAGCACATATGCATTTACGATGGACTGAAAAGTTTGTAAAGGAGAGTTGACAGATTTACAGATCCAAACATTTGAGAGCACAAGAGAAAATTCTTCTGTTTTGCATTTTTAATCATTAATAATTAAACAAATCATTTAATTTGATACATTATTTAACAATTATATTTATATATTCATTTCAAATTATTGAGTAAGTGAATATTGAAATAAAAAAAATGTAAAACAGCAGCATTCAACATGAAATATTTGTTATTCGGTTCGCATCATTTTTCTTTGTTTAAAGTCACCATGAAATCCAAAAATTATAAATGATTTATCCGTGCACATTATTATAAAAAAAAAAAATGAATGTGCCCTTGTAATCTTTAATCAAAATAACTTCCCCTCCCCCTCGCAGTATCATCTCTTCTCTGATGATGTACTTACTGGCAAGAGGGTGGGACAGCCTGTCACTCACATGAGATCGACCAATAGCAAATAACATTGATCCAAAGATGCAATCAATTCCTGATAGACAAAATCAAGTCCCGCCCTACATGTTTTCTTGTTCAAGAAACCATTTCACACAGATATACGTCACAAAAAACAAAAAGAAGACTATTGCAACTTTTAACTTTAAACCGTTATTTTATGCAGAAAATGTTTCATTTAGTTTCATTTTGAATACGGACACTATAGTAGTATTCATAGTATATCTTAGGGGTAATTTGATCTGGACAATCACAGAGAACAAGAATCACAGGTACATCTCACCTGTATTCTCTCAGGTACCCCAGTGCTGTCCATTCGGCTGGCTACATTCACAGTATTCCCCCATATGTCATATTGCGGTTTACGAGCCCCTATGACACCAGCCACGACGGGACCCATGTTAAGACCTACAGGAAAAGATGCTTTTTAATTTTACAACAGTAAAATACATGGGTCATTCTCTGAAAGTTTTTGACTAACAGACTAAATGAATACTACAGGAATGTAGCATTTTTGAAAGGGAAAAGGAACCATTTCATAAAATGACACAAATTAAACACACATTAGGAAGCTGTATTTAAAGGAATAGTTCACTTCTAAATGAAAATTCTGTCTTCATTTACTCTTCTAATTTCTTTTGAATTTCTTTCTTCTGCTGAACACAAAAAAAAAAGATAGAGGGAATGCATTGCCATCACTTTAATAGGGGAAACTGCGAAAATGCCACTAAAACGAACAATTTTATCAATTTAAACTAGTTGGACTCAATATAGGCTAGTGTTCCATACAACTTACTAAAGATCCAGTGATCCATGGATATTGACATGCAGCCAGGAATCGTGTTGCCTGACATTTATGTTTGCCTGATTTTGACACCGAGGAAATAAAAGCAATATAGACCTAAACATAAAGCAAATTTGCCTGTGAACACTTTATATAAATACAATATAGGTAGGTCTAAATCTGGGTGATCACTTATATCAGTGTTATATATAGCCTATATATATCATCATATCGTCCAGCCCTAAAACTTTATAGTTTTTTTGGTCAGTGTTTATTAAAAACATCCAATAATGCAGAATATGCAATGATAAATATTTAATTGATGAGTTGTTAATATATATAACAATACAAAATATATGGGTATGGTTTTACACCTAAATTCAGCATATTGACACAAATCGTTGTCCAAATTGGACATTGGACTTGTTGTCCAAATTGTTTCTGTGGCTTGCTCCTCTTTCTATAGCAGTCTGTAAAAATATACCTCCGATTTTTTGTCAAATCTAGTTGCGCAGTCAATCGCAAAGCTCTTTCCCACTTAATATGTGTTGTGTTTGTTTTTCGCGGCATTCACGCTGAAAACAAATACAGCCGCTCAGTCTTTTTGCCACTCACTGTGAGTAACTGCAGGCCGACGGTGACGTCACGCGCATACCCTCTATATTTTGAAGAATGTCGGTAACCAGATAAACCCCACTGACGTCCATAGTAGGAAATAAAATACCAATGGGGAACATCAACTGTCTGCTTACATTCTTCAAAATATCTTCTTTTGTATTCAGCAGAAGGAAGAAATTCATACAGGGTGAGTATTATAGAATATTCATTTTTAAGTGAGTTAATCCTTTAAGGGTGGCTAAGACAGATCCTTACCGATCTTCATTTTGAAGTTATTAAATGAGTGCTCATTTATGTACTTCATCTGGTCCATGAGGCGCATAGCGTAGTCGGCTAGAGCGCGAATGTGCGACCTTCCTACTTTATCATAAGTGGAGTCATTAAGCCCAGACGCAGCCATGTAGGTGCTGCCAATGGTTTTGATCTTTTCCAGTTGACGAAACTGATCCTCACTAATGATCTGCAAGAAAAGAGAAATAAGATGATGACTTCCATGTTGGAATGAGAAGGCATATTAAACGTCTACATTTCTAAGAATGCACACAGTTTAGGAAGATTTGAAGATGCAGGACCAGTTTCACACACACACAATTCTAATTTTTTTAAAAACGAAGACCTACTGTTGCAACATTAAAATGTTTAATGTAAGAACTAAAACACAGTAAAATCCTAGTTTTAAAAGTTAATCCCTTATTAACTTTTTATGTTTTCACTATTTTTTCTTCTGTAATTTTTTTTAAATCTTATTAATAAATGTTCAGCCTGAGCCCGTCTAACGGAGAGCCTTGACACTTCCTATTAGCCCCGTTGTGTATCATCCTGGTTGCAGTTCCATTAGAATTCCACTGGAGGTGATCACGGGCAAGTGCAGAATGAATGGAAGTCTATGGGGCTAAACGGCTAAATGTGTCTCTTTCACCTGCTTGTCGTTAAATTAGGTTAGGCCGTTGTTGGCCGGAACACGCTAGCATTCTGCTATTGTGTGACGTCATCACTGTTTTGAACGGATTTTTAGAACAGATAAGTGAACTTAAAAATGCAATTTTCAGCTGAGTGTATTATCTTAGCCCTCCTCTTTGAATGCAACTTTCAAATTACTTGACAAAAAATTACATCCTGAGAAAAGTGGATTTATGGGGGTGAAACCCCATTAACTCCCATTCATTCTGCACTAGACCGCGAGCGCCCCCGCATGGACAGAGACGTGTTACTGCAGCCAGTCCAGAACCCGGAAGTAACCAGCCAGTGCCAATTCTCTTCAATTAGACATTCTCTGGTTTAGCACACCTTCCACTTGAAAGTTAGTCAAATGTACAGAATCACGCTCAAGTGTAAAATCATCTTGAAAGTCCTGAGGTGGGTCAAAAATAGCTGTACCTCATCAAAGTCAGCGATGATCTCATTGAGCAGTCTCAAGCACTCCACACCTTCATTATTGGCCTCCAGTTCCACATAGAACTCGGAGAAGTTGCTGATGGAGGCAAACATGACAGCCACGCATTCGCACGACTGATAATACAACTCGTCGTTCCGCCGCTCACGTGCCAGAAAGTGTGCAGCCACATCTTTGGGCAAGATGTTGTGGAGAAGCCGACGGTTGTAGGCCTGAAGTTCTTCCATTTCCTCTTTTTCCTCTGTTGCCTGTGAATACAATACAAATAGAGGACGATGCTATGAATAAGGATGAAGAACTAAATAAACACTAGGGATTGGCAACGATTAATCGCGATTAATCGCATCCAAAATAGAAGTTTGTGTTTACATAATATATGTTTGTGTAGTGTGTATAATTCATAAATACCTACACATGCATGTACTGTATATATTTAAGAAATATGTGCATGTATATATTTTATATATATTTATTCACAATTAATATTATAAATAAATATAAATATTTGATATATTAATAACACATTTTTCTTAAATATATACATGCATGTGTGGGTATTTATATATACAAATTAATTATACACACTACACACACATATATTATGTAAACACAAACTTTTATTTTGGATGCGATTAATCGTTGCCCATCCCTAATAAACACTGCATTCTTGTTGCACCAAAGTGACTACAACAATAACTATTATATTCACATCATCAGACTCTATTTGTATCTATGATAACAATCAAAGGCAAAACGGACTAAATAGGTTTTTGAAAGAAGACGCTTATGCTCACCAAGGCTGTATAAATTGAATAATTATTGCAATTCAAAATAACTGTTTATTATTTGAATATATTTTAAAAGGTAATTTATTCCTGTGATGGCAAAGCTGGATTTTTAGCATCATTACTCCAGTCTTCAGTGTCACATGACACTTCAGAATATTATCACTGCTTGATAATGTAAAAGTCGTTACTGTTACGTTTAATCAATCTAATAAATCCTTACTGAATAAAAATAGTAGTTTTTTATCTTACTGATGCCAACATTTTGAAAAGTATTGTGAGCTACAGCAAGTAATTAAGAACAAGAAGCAAGTTTCACGAAATGCACACAAAAACGTAAGATCCAAATGCAGTGTTTATTCAGGGTAATCCATAATCATCGTTGTCAGCCAGGCAAAGGGTCAAAATCCATTCAACACAGTCACAAAATCCAAAGTGTGGTTGACATAAAACAAGGACTCGACAACAAACACAGACAGGGTATAAATAGACAGGTGCAAACAATGTGAGTGGGAACAGCATGTGTGAAATGATCGGTAACGCTTCCTTTTACAGTCCAGTTACCCATGTAAATACTATGTACTTATTTTAGTAACTACAATTACTGGGTAATAACTAGTACTAACCCTGAACCTACCCCTGTTCCATATACTTACCTTATATTAGCCAGTACTTTCTAAGTAAGTACACTGTAAGTACTGTACTGTAAAAGGAAGCGTTACCAAATGATCAGTGATGAGTTCAGGCAAAGGGTTATGGGAAATGCAGTTCACGATAAAGGTGACGACCAGGGAAAGAGACCTCTAGTGAAAACCCTGGGAACACAAACCAGACACGGCATTTTTCAATAAACAGCTTTTCTGTCCAATTACAAAAGAATACAAGGATAAACACACCTGTAACTTCCAGAGAAAGTCCAGTCTGGCAGTGGACTCCACCTGCTGTGCATGAAGGTAGAGCGCTAGCACAAACACCGTGATGACTACTGGAGTCATGATCTTTAGAGGAACCCGCATGTCTGTCACACAGCTACAACACACACACACACACACACCACAGCACTGAGTGTCAACAACTACACACTAAAAGAGCATGATGATCTAATCACATCACATCACAACAGCATGTGGCCACATTTGATTTACTCCTGTTGTGCAATCTTTATCGGCATGCAATGAAAACAACCAACGCATTCTCATCCCAAGGCGTCATATACGACGCTTTTGCCAAAGCGTAGACATCCAACACACATGGCACCCTTTAGCGTCAACATAACACGCACAGAGTATGGGTAGGTTTAGGCCTGGGGTAGGGTTAGGGTTAGACCACTAGGAGGCGCCTTCTGCCCCATATGTATATCTGCGTCTCATATTGACGCTAAAGGGTGCCATGTGCGTTGGATGTCAACGCATTGGCAAAAGCGTCGTATATGACACCTTGGGATGAAAACGGGTTCAAACAACATGCTTACTGATATTTCTTTCAGGTCAGGGTGGTTTTATCTTACCTTGTGCCAGTAATATTCTCTCTGTGAATACAAAGAAAAAGCAAATGTATCAGATGGATGGAGCACAACAGATATAAGGATATAAGGCAAACTGAACTGATATAAGGCAAATCAGCATGCAGACAATCAATAGTGGATTTGTTAGCATGGGTCTATGGAGTGGTAGGCTAAAGCTGACTGAATTAGTCATTTTCTGAATGAAAAAATATTGATTCTTACTGACCCCAAACTTTTTGAACAGTAGTGTAAGCAGTCAGTAACAGCACTACGGTTTTCACTATTGATATTGATTTTCTGAAGGATGCTGCTAAAAATTCAGCTTTGCAATCACAGGAATAAATTACAATTTAAAACACTGTATAGTGATATATGGTGTATATTGTATTTTTTTATCAAATAAATGCAGCCTTTGTGAGCACATTAAAACCTTGCAGGCATTAAAACCTTGCAGGCTCAAAACTGTTGATTGATAGCTTATATAATAACCAGTTACAACTTTGATATAGAAAAATGCTAGGGAATATTTAGCAGTTCCATAAATTTGGAAGAGACAACGTCCATACATTTAAAAAACAAAACAAAACAAAAAAACACCACATTTAAAGGAGCTGTATGCAAGATTGTGGCCAAAACTGGTACTGCAATCACTTTCAAATTAGGGTGTATCCCCGGCCCCGCCTTCCCCCATGACTCGAGGTTGCCAGATATGCTGCAGGATCCAGCAGGAATGTAGGTGCTACAAGAAGCTTCCAATAGCAAGTGACGAGTCCTACACAGCGAGTTTTTTTTTTCTGTTAATTATTTATTTCAGACTTTGTAACAAAGTATTTAGAATTCATATTGAGTTTTTTGGGGTTTCGCAACGTTAGAATCTTCAGCTTTGGTAACTAGAGAAGAGCTGGCAACCCGAATGTCGTAACGCTAATGAGTCCGTGATTGGTAGATCGGTGGAGGGTGACGCATCAGACCAAAACACAACATTGTCAACATCAACATCAGTCGAGGGCTGCGACTTCACTTTTTAAATGACAATATCCTGACTGGACTACTGTTGTCAGTGATATAAGAATTTGAAATGAACATGATTTCTCAATGTCTAGTGACATATCAGGGAAAATTTATGAGGAATTGAAATAAATTTCTTGCTGCTTTAAAATACTTTTATCATTTTGATCAAGAGGATAATGATGATGGAAAGGATGCTGATCCAAGAAAATGTGCAACTAGGCTAAAATCCAGATACTCACATGGCATTGGCCATGACCAGCAGGTCCACATTGTCAAAAAGGCTGACCTCAGGCACCTCCACGATAAGCACATACAGGATCTCGATGAAGAGCATGAGGAAGAGTTTACCAATACTGCTGACCTGTAGGAACACTGAGCAGGCCAGTAAACTGAGCAGCACACACGATGAGAAGTACTGCAGCGGAAGAGAAAAACATTCAGACATTAATCTTTTGCATTCCCTACAACTTATTCCAAGTATGATTGATCAAAAGACAAGCATTTCAGAGCAGTGCCTAAAAGTGGATGCCTAAATGCGAAAGACATGAAAGATGTCCAGCTGGTCTTTTGAAACATAGTACCGTAGCTGGTTTCCAGCTGCTCAATGCTACTATTACAAAACTGGACTGATCTGAGAACAGTACCACACCTCTGGGAAATTGCAGGTGGGTGACGAGCTGTTGCAGAGGCTGTCCTGAGACCAGAGAGAGTAGTTGAAGAGCGAGCTGCGGACATGGCAAGCGTTCACATCTCTGGGGGTGATGTTAAACTCCTGTCCTAAACATGTCTTCAGGTCATCTGTACTGCAGGTGAACTAAACGACAGATAAAGATGTTACATGTGACATGACTTCATTTAATTAATCCACTAAAGATCACGTTAGTAACTAACTTTCCAATGTCAAAAGCTAATTACTTACTGTGCCATTATCAACACTATACATAATTGAAAAGCTAAAGATTTCTATTTTTGCTATTCTGTTTGGTGGCTCTAGGCCTGTGAGTCTTCAAATATTGTGACACAGGTTAAGTGTTAGTTGTATGGTTAAATATCAAAGGCATTAAAGCACAAGACTTGTGGGACTCACAATGTTAATGAAAGCGGAGAGAAAAACCAGGACGATGGTAAAAACTCCGACCAGGGTGCTGTTGAGTCTGGACTGAACAATCCTTTTAGACAGAGTTTGCAGAGGCACAGGGAAAAACTGTCAATAGAGAAAAAAATATGATTTGAGTTTCTTATTAGAGAGGTAACGCCACAGTAAAACGATTTGTCGTCACATGATGTCTTTTGAATAAAAGAGCTGCTGTTTTAAACTTTCTACTTGGAAACAAAAGTGCGGTTTCAAAAAAGAAAAAGAAAAGCAGCACATCTGTTTTCAATATTGATGATAAATGTTTCTTGAGCTCCAGATCAGCATATTACAATGATTTCTGTAGGATTATGTGACACTGAAGACTAAAGTAATGGCTGCAGAAAAATTCAACTTCAATAAATGAAATAATAAAAAAAATACATCATTTTTTATTATTATTATTAAAAGACCTTGTGGGGATCTTGTGGGTTTGCAGAGATTCAGGCTTGTATGAAAGACTTTTTACGGGTCAGGAAGTTCAGAATGTAATTCCACAGCATCTCTAAGGAAAGACCCGTGACGCCCCTAGCCGCCCATGGAGCCGCGCAGTGACAGTTCCACTTCAGCGTGCACAAATGAGCTGCCAGCACTTTATTGTGTCTCTGTCTTTGTTCTGTGTGACTCATTGTCTCTGGAGACCTGCACACAGTTATGCAGCTAAAAGCCCAATATCAATCAAACCCGCTCAGGTTATAATAGCGGAGAAGGTTGATAAACACTTGGATTTAGCGATGATGTGTTTGTGAGAGTGCTAGGAAATGGTCTGTGAAGGAGAGGGCTTGTTTTTGTGTTTTGCTGCACTTTAGGGACAAATTGCTCTGAGTTTGACCTATTATCTGTAATTAATATTTACTATATCTATATAGTTAATTTCTATAGTATTAGTATCATTATTTATGTCTGAACTTCTTTATATTACACATTAAAGGGATACTCCACTTTTTTTGGAAATACGCTCATTTTACAACTCCCCCAGAGTTAAACGGTTGAGTTTTACCTTTTTTGAATCCATTCAGCCGATCTCGGGTTCTGGCGGTACCACTTTTAGCATAGCTTAGCATACATCATTGAAGTGCAAAAGACCATTAGCATTTCTCCCAAAAAGAAATCTAGGAAATCTAATCTAAAAAATTTTCTAGGCTGATATGCAGGGAACTATAGTCTCATTCCACGTAATAATCAAGAAACTTTACTGTCGTACCATGAGTGCAGCAGGCGTGATGACTACACAAACTTAGTCCCGGTCACATTGGAAGCTGGGCACTAATTTCAGGCGCTGCACTCATGGTACGACAGTGAAGTTTCCTGATTATTACGCAGGAATGAGAGTATAGTTCCTATTCATATCAGCCTAGAAAATCGCAAGTCTTAGTGCACAATGTAACTATAGAAGAGTCAAGTTTTAAATAGAAAAATATCAAAACACTTTGGTAAAATGCTAATGGTCTTGTGCACTTCAATGATGTATGCTAAGCTATGCTAAAAGTGGTACCGCCAGAACCGGAGATCGGCTGAATGGATTCAAAAAAGGTAAAACTCAACAGTTTAACTCTGGGGGAGTTGTAAAATGAGCGTATTTCCAAAAAAAGTGGCGTATCCCTTTAACATTGTAGGCCAGTATTGGGAAAGGTCACTTTCTACACGCACTAGTTCAAAGTTCAGTTCACACATTTTAAAATGAACTAGTTCAGTTCATACTGTAGTACATACTTCAAAAAATTAACTAGTTCATAGTTCTTTTTTTCCATATGTTGCAAGCTTCTTTTTTATTATTATTATTATTATTATTGCCACAGCCCATACACCACAGACAACAATTATTTTATCGACGGGCAAAGTTTGCACAGAAATGTACGATTTTTCCCATCCTCACCGACCTCGTCATAAAAACCATATAAAATGATCATACGACGCCTCCTCGCTCGCTGCTTTGTCGACGGCGGTCGCGGTGTGACACTGGTGGTTGGTGTTGCCAGATTGGGTGTTTTTTTTGCTGCATATTGAGGCCTGTTTACGTGTGTTTTATCCGGGTTTTCGTCTGGAAGGCTCTGTAGAAATCTGGCTGGCACCCTATCGTATGAAGTTAAACAGAGAGAGCGTGCGTTCACAGACACCAGAATGAACGAGTTCACAGTAACGTTCATCTGGCAGTAGTACATTCAGTTCACGTTCGCCCAAAGTATGAACACGTTCAATGAACGATAGTTCAGGCACAACACTTGTAAAGGCTATATCTGTGTACATATCTGTGCATATATATGTGTACAATCCCAAAATTTCACTTACCTCAAAACAAGAGTAAATGGCTGAGATGAACATGACGGCCAACAGGAGGACAAGGCACACCACATAGAAGCCGATCATCAGCCCGGAGCTGCAAAACAACAACACACAGGTATAGAGAGGTAACTAGGTGAACAGAAAATAGCTATATCATTGTAAACATTATATATATATAATATAATATATGATATAATATTTTATGTTATAATTAACATAGGGTCTGACGGAGAGGAGAGACCTGTTTTGAATGTTTTGGCTGCTCAGGTAATACTGTCTTCACCTTTACAAAGTCAAAATGAATGAAAGCTTCTGTGTATGTGACACTCCCATTAAAAAAAAAAAAACCCTTCTCTAAGCCTGTGGCTTGTTTGAATGGTTTAGAAAACATTTGCTAGGATTAGGTTTTTAACTGAAGTGTACTTACTGTGGGACAATGACGATCTGAATGAAGCAGATGAATAAAAAGACGAGGGAGGCGCAGGCTACGTATGCTCCGAACCTGGCGTCTACCTGCTTGGAGTACTGACAGAAGGTGAGGAAAGAGGAGAGAAAAGAGTCGGGTTACAAAAAAAAAAACCATTCAAATGGCTTGTGAAAGTGGTGTGTAACTGACAGAAGGGAGTGTATGTATATCATGTCATACATGAGTATAATTTGGAAAAAAAAACCTTTATTTTAAGTTTTTCCAGGCCTGAAAATCGCAACTGTAAAATTTCATAATGTTTCCAGGTTTTCCACAACAAAGGGAACCATGAAAAGTATCAAATATTTAAAAACGGATTATGTAATAAAGTTGCAGATTTGCTTAATATAATAAAAAAATGGTAAGTTTGGGTTCAGCAATCATTTTTAACTTAAAGTGTTACCATATTGGTGTGGAAAATGTGTTGCTATTTTAATGTTTTTAACATGTATTTATTTAAAACATGAATGATTTGAAACATTATAAATGTATTTATTGTTACTTTTGATCAATGTAATGTATCCTTTTCAATAATAATTAATAATACAAATATATGAATTAATTTATTTATTTAAAAAAAAACCCACAACAAAACAGTAGATATGTAAAATATCTAACTAAATAACATCAAGTGAATTTCTTCAGACAAAGATTGTGAAGGATAACTATTTAGACATTCAGGACACAGACAATAAAAGACAACAAAAGCAATAATTATCTCCACTACATACCACGGGCAAATCTCTGAAAGAGTCATCTAATCAGATCTAGAAGTAAGAGGACCAGCATACAACCTGCTAAATGTGTATGCGACTGCAGATGGAGGAAGAGACCGTGAATGCAGTTAGAGACTCCCCTTCCATTACCCTTTTGTCACCATCTTTACAAAGAAACCAAGTCTTCTACACAGTCACAAAAAGTTTGGCCATCTCTTTGAGGTGGGGGAGGTCAGTGATGACTAATGCTTTGAATGTAACACCATAAAATAACTTAAATCACAGCGCAGCATGAAGACGTCAGTTTCTGACTCATTCCGAACCTGGACCTTGAATTTCATTGCCTCTATTCATCTTAGCAGCGTGTCACATCTTTGAGCTATGCTGAATACTTTTAGGCCGCCTGCACAACAGTACAAACATAATACACTTCTGATTGGCTATACAATTGAAGAAACACTTTTCCAGTAACATTAACTCAAGATCTGTAAAATGGTTAGTTCATGCTCACAAGTCACGCAATTTTTGACAAAACTTCAAGGCGGCTAGATCGTTTGAGCTTTATGACGCATTTAAATCAGTAGATCTGGCAACTATTACGTCTGTGGCGAGCAGGCGAGGCCGAAGGCTGTGGGAGAACGGCAATGGGCTATATGCACGCATAAGTTCCGCATTTGACGTAAGGATGCTCGTCCATTTCCGGTTGTGTAGATTAAAGCGGAGGAAAACCGGAGAAAACGGGATTATGGCAGAGTCTTCAATATTTACTGTCCTCCCGTCTTTGAAACGAAACGTACATACGTTTAGATGTAATTTTATATATAGTTATGTTTATTTAATATAATTTTAAAAAGAAGCATAAACACAACGAGGGGTGTCTGTTTTATCTGTTTTTGTGACTAACGTTTCATTAGTATAACCATGGAGTATAAAATTCAATATAAATTCTCGGTATTGCATTGGACTCTATGATAGGCGGAAGTTATCGAGCATCCTTAATCCTTCACCGGAAATAACGCCGTGCATAGAGCCCATTTCACGGCAAACGTAAATTTTACGTTTATTAAAGTCTTTGAATGCAATCGGTTCCCGCCTCCTTCCCATAACATCGAACCTTGCTACAGTCCAATATAGTCTAATTATGTAAGCTTATCAGGCAAAAAACACATAATCAATTGATATAATGTGTAATAAAGATTTCCAGTAGACAACAATGTAAATTTTTGCCTGTTCTTCACAATAAACCTGCATAAGTTGCAGTATGTTGGTTACTATTACAGTGCTTTTATGTCATTTTGGAGTTTTCCAGGTGAGATAAGGGTTTCTTTTTTGTACAATTATATCATAGTATACATAAGTATTTATAGTATACTATATTATAGTATACTACTGTAGATTTTGAACATTTAGCAAAATTCCAAGGAACAATTATGTTGTGGATTAGCATTAGCTAATAAATCGCGCTGTGGTGTTAAGGTTTATCTTATCATTGGTCACGTAAAAGAGAGCCATACCTTCTTCTCCAGGTCAGGTTCTCGGAACGTCAGGAGAAATTTCTTGACGTGTTCGGACCGTAACCGGTCGATGCTCCGGGCATCAATGGCACGGCCCAGAAATTCGTCCACCTCATCCTCGGGGTTCAGGTTTTCTTGCGTGTTTCTGAAAACGAAATGTCTAGATAACACAAGACGAGACACCGTTTTTCCACCTTCTTCCTCCCCACTTATTCTTACAATCCTATACATCCAGACCACCAAAAAGTAGAAGTGCTGGTCCACACCCCCCAAAAAACCCCATAAAAACAAGGAAAGATGACAGAGTTAAGGTTTATGATTAGCAATTATGTCAGTGTAACTGAGTTGATTTCGTTGAGGAAGAACATCATCTGCTAAAGAGTTCAAGACCTTGCAGTCATGTTTATGCAATTTAATAACTACTAAATCACATCAGCACATCTAGATCCTGTACTTAAAGTATTTTAAACTTAAGATAGCAAGGAGTGTAGAAATCATATCTGGAAATCAACTCACACCATTTGATATCTGCGTACTAGTTAATAAGACAAGCGATGCATGCTTACACATCAAGAGAGCCAGGACTCTAAAAGCACACTTTTCAACACCACTGTAAAAGGGATGGAAATGCTCACACTAAGTGCACTTGTTGATTAGTTCATTGGTAGTTTATTTACATTTTTTATATATTTTAGTAATATATTTGGTCACACTTTAGGGTCAAATTCTCACTTTTAACTTCATATTAACCATGACTTTTGCCTTAATAATCTCCTAATAACTGCCTATTATTAGTTAGCAAGGTAGTTGTTAAGTTTAGGTACTGAGTATGTAGAATATGGTCATGCAGAATAAGGCATTAATATGTGCTTTATAACTAAGTACTAATAAACAGCCGATATCCTAGTAATATGCATGCTAAGCAACTGGTTAATAGTGAGAATTGGACCCTAAACACTTGTGTATAGATAGAGATAGAGATGTGCTCCATATACTCACTTGTCTTTAGAATCCTCAAATCCCTGCAACAAAATTGGAAGAGAAAATGCATTATACATCAACACAGAATGAAAGAGCATTAGAATAGCTGCATTTGTACAGTCAGCACAACAGTGACTCCTTCTGGAAAAGTTCAACTAAAACAGGGCAAGAAAGCTTTTGAAAGGCAAAAGCAAGTGAAAGAATTTTTTTTCCCTGGAAGATGTTTTGACCACATTCTTCGTTTTTCACAATCTTATATATAAATATATATATATATATATATATATAACACAAAACATGACTTTCCCAGCACTCCATTCCAAGACAAGTCCCTACATTCCCACACATAAATCTCTATTCATTTGTTTGACTGTCATAAAGCACATAACAGACCAGTGAGAGTTACAACAGATAAAGAAGGGAGGGGTTGGGGAGTAAAATAAATATATCATATTTAGGACAATCATTTATGGACAACCTCAATGTAGTAAACCGAGAGCTGCTGCGAGACCCAGGATTCAATACTACTGTACTGATTTAAACAAACACATGATAACACATTGTGTATAATCAAGCTGAGAGCTGACTCTGTTTATGGTTAAAAGTTAAAATTCAGATCCCAATGAGAACAGAAGTAAACAGAGCTGGCTAATGAGGCATTGATTTATCATGGTAGGACATGGGAAACACAGAGAGGAAACCAAATAGGCAAATGTGCTTTAGCGGTTGGTGTTGGTGGTCTTTGGGGGTTTCAACTATGATTTCACAAAAACATTAAAAGTCACAAAACTTTGTGAGCAGCCTGCCTACTAAGACAACTGCCATTGATATGGAATGCTTTACACAAACAGCACGAGACAGTTTATTTCAACAGTGTCTGAGATTGTTTCTAAGCTAACGACAACTATAAAAATATACAGCACATACAAATGACGTATAAATCTATTGTCATCTGTAACACACACACACATATATGAAGAGTTCAGATGCAAAAGCCTCTAAATGCCATTTGAAATTTTCTTCTTTAATGATGATTTTTATCAAGCTTGTATATTTAAGTTCAGTAATTTCACTTAAATAAAAATTAATAGGTAATTATCATTGCCATTTAAGTGAAATTACTACAAGCTTCATAAAAATGATCATTTTAGAAGAAAATTTCAAATGGCACTTAGAGGCTTTTGCATCTGAACTCTTCATATATATATATATATATATATATATATAGAGAGAGAGAGAGAGAGAGAGAGAGAGAGAGAGAGAGAGAGAGAGAGATGTCTCCAAAACTGACTTTTACACATTTAAGCAAAAGCCTTTTAAAGACCATGAGAAACAAATTTAGTCATCAAATTGATCCAAACTTATTTTAGTTTTTGCAGTGGAATTACAGAAAATTGCAGTTTCACTTGTAATGGTGACGACTGCTGAAAACCAGTTATATGAGAACCCCAGTCTCTACAACTTTGAATAAAAGCATCTGCTAATTGACTCCTTACTTAATCAAAAAAAAAAAACATATACATATATATATATATATATATATATATATATATATATATACACACACATATACACACACACACACACATATATATATATATATATATATATATATATACAAAGTATATATATATATATATATATATATATAACATTAGATATGGGTCAAGGAACAGTCTAAAAAGTTCCCATTAGATATCAAATGACCATTTTAAATGGTAATTTCTAACCACTAAACATTAAATTATGGGAGCAAAAAGCATCCATGGGACATGTTGCTAGATACATAATAATAGTCAGTCAATTTTTGGTCTCAGCAGACTCAGATGCACTCCCACACACAGGCCTCCATGTATTCACTCGACATAGACTATGACCCAGTCAGTATGTTGATGTGTTACACCATTTGTTTCTCTCCTTGGACCGAGCAACACATTCTGGGCCAACACAAGCCTCTAGACAATACAACAGACAAAAAAGGGTGCTGTTGGTATTATGAAACAGATATTCTCCTTATCAGAATACACAGCATGTTTATTTGCCTTCATCAATGCTCATTGTTTATGTAGGTGTGCATAGATCTGGATATTACATGCCAGCCCGGCAGGATATATCGGACAGGATTATGAGTGCCACTATCACCGCCAAATGCAATTACAGAAAAAATACTACAAACAGGTTCCCCACATCTGCTGTTGGTCGGACAAACAGATATTCCAACAGCAAAATCCATTGACTTTGACAATGTTGCAATGTTCAGGATCAAGGGGATAATCCACCAGCCACAAACGGAAGTCTCCCCGGGGGCCGCCTGCTGTTAGCATTCCATTGACTCCCATTCATTTTGGCGTCACTTTGACAACGAATAACTTTACATCTGAGGCGTTTAAAGACTCTATTTGTCCATTGTTTATTTCTAAAGCCTAGTTCACACTACGTGATTTTAAGCCCGATTTAAGCCCGATTTGCAAATCGTTGAGTCGCCGACAAGTCAGGGTGTTATCGCGTGCAAATCGCGGGCGATTAGCGGACGATTAACGCTCGCCAATCCGTTAGTGTGAAAGAGCCAACAACGCACCAAAGACAGCTCGCAGACACCTCACAGACAGGTCACCGAGCTCAGAAAAATATCTAGCATGCTAGATATCTCGAGCAGTCGCTAGACTCAATCTCAGTGATGTCATGAGTACAGCCAATCATAGCAACGCATGGGTTGAGGACACCAGGTAAATCTTACTTTTTCTTTTCTTTTTTGCATTTTTTTTTTCTCAGAGCAGATCGTCGAGCAAACAGTGTGCAGCACTAGTTTCTGTCTGACGTCCATATTCGCGTGTTGTGTTCTTCTCTGCAGTTTCGCGTCATTTCTGGTTCGTTTTATTGCGTGGTTTTTCGTGACAAAACATGGTTTCTAGACCAGATAGAATCGTGTTGTTGTCAACTCGTTATTTGTTTGATTATTTTCAGGATTTAGACCGTACTATAGTACTGAAACAGCTCTCATTGAGTCACAAATGATATGCTCTTATCATCCGATCGTGGTTGTATCTCTATGTAGTGCGTTGTTAACTCGTGTAGTGAGTTACCTCCTGTTGTGGATCAATCACGTTGTGTTGTGTGGTGTGAACAGCTAAACAACTTGAACACTCATGATTTCACTGAGAGCAAGTCATGTAGTGTGAACTGCACAGTTCAGCCCGACATTTTAAAATCATGTAGTGTGAACTAGGCTTAAAGAAACACGACAATGTATAAAAGGCTCCATTACCTTGTATCTTAGGTTATGGCCCCATAAAAGCAGTTTTTGCAAAAATAGGCTAACGATTGCATCATACTGTAACACGCGACTCTGCCGCACAGTAGAGAAATTAGAAGTAGAAGCTTGAAGAAGGCATAAAGTCAAGGGAGAAGCCCATAGAGAGTCATAAAGTTGCTCCTGGACAGCTCTACTAACGCTCTCCGTCTCTGCAAGATTCGGAAAGAAATGATTGAGATTCCTCTTGGCACAGTTACTAGAAGACGTACAACTGTCAGACAGGTTGCTCACGTCACATCTACGTCGTCAAGCTCTGTTTGAGCCTGCGCAGTACGCTTGGCAATCAGGAAGTGAGTGCTTCTAATTGACTTCACTTTTCTCTGTTGAAGTCTATGGGGTCGCTGTGTCCATTTCTTTTACTGTCTATGTTCAGGATTAAGGGCGTCACGATTTTGATTTTAAATTGAAATCGATCCAATTACTTCACAATCTCGAAAATCGAATTAAAAAATGGAATCGTCGATGGTGCCACGCCCCCATGTCACATCCGTTCGGCTTGCCAAGCGGAAAAAAACACATGTTGAAGTGCTGCGAGTCTATGGTCAACCTCCTCTATAACTTAGCTACAGCCATTCAAAAGATAGCATGGAAACTCCAGATGCAGGAGACCCATCGACAGAACGTGAACCCCCTCCTTTTTCATTGAAATCACAAGAGTGGATTTAAAGTGAGTAATGTTGATAACGTTCACGCTTCAAAAAAAACACAGTTTGCAGACATCCTAAGTCTTGCGGAAGTGCCGGGAGTCTCCCGCATATTGATAGCGGCTCCATGATGCACGCAAATTAGTTAAAATCTCCCGGATGCATGCCGAGACAGAAAAACTGTGCTCCAAACCGTATTGCGTGCACGGCAGAGAGGAAAAGAGCGAGCGAGCGACCTTGTGTGTGTGCCTCATGAAGCGCATGCAAGACTGCATCCTGATTGGCCGATTGATAAAAATCGAATTGATAAAAATCAAGGATATGTTAAATAATATTAACTTTTAAACGGTTTCTGATGTGCACAAAGCCTCCTGCCATTTAAAGGCTGTTTAAGTGATGCTATTCTTATGCTTTTGACAGGTTCTCATGTTTGAGAACCTGTCAATTGCAGCGCTATTTTTTGAATTTGCATAAATGTTTGAATTTGCCTGGTTTAAATGTTTGAAAATGATTAACAGTTGAAAACATTAGTTAGAAATGTATATAACCAATCAAAATGTAAACACTAACATTAAAGGAGTAGTTCACTTTTGAAAAAAATCTTATCAAGCGAAACGATCGCACATTAATAAATAAATAACAGCTTTTATAAGCTCAAATGGTCGCCTTGCTCTGTTCTGTGACGCACGTTTGTGACTCTCCTGTTCGAACTCGTTCATCAAAATGAACAAATCTTTTTCCAAGTCATTTGATTCATTCATTTTTTAATGAATGAGTTTGAACAGGAGAGTCACGAACGTGCATCGCAATACAGAGCAAGGCGAGCATTTATAAAACTTTTTTTGTTTTTTTTTTAAATGAGCGATCGTTTCGCTTGATAAGACCCTTATTCATCGTCTGGAATCGTTTAAAACCCTTTGAACAGTTTGCAGTTTGTTCTGAAAGTGTCTTTTGGACCTTGAACCGTTTGGTTACCAGTAAAGTGCATTATATGGAGAAAAATCCTGGAATGTTTTCATCAAAACCTTAATTTCTTTTCGACTGAAGAAAGAATGACATGGACATCTTGGATGACATGGGAATGAGGAAATTATCAGCAAAGGTTTTTTTAAAAGTGAACTACTCCTTTAATAAAGAAATTTAACTAGTTACACTACTTATTCAATTTTAAACAGGGTAACTTGTAATCTGTGACCTATTACATTTCCAAAGTAACCATCCCAACACTGGGAATATTTTAAATCATAAACTTGGATTGGAAAAAGAGTAGACATCTATTTTTATAATGGAAATGTCAATATTTGACAACTAAATTTTAAATGTGTCGGTCGTAGAAAGAACAAGTTAGGCTGGATTTCTGTGTTCTTTCTTAATATGTTAACCAAGATGAGAAGGAAAAGGTGATTCAGGCAAAAAAAATAAAAATAAAAGGGTATTCCCATGGAGTGCACAGGAACTAATTGCTGGTTCCACTTTGCCTGATTAAATCCCCCAGGGTGGTATGTGAGGCAGCCCAGCTTTATTTAATTAGAGTGCTGTTCCCTTCGGGTTCCAGAGCCGAGAACTGAATGAAAGAACAGGAACTACACAAAGGGCAGAAGGCCCCTTACATGTGACCCTAAAGCAATGTCCTTGGGATTGTTTTGGCTTAGTTAACACATGGTCCAAAAAGCCTCCCCAGTCAAAGGCCTTATCCTCCAACAGAGGCGGTAATGGCTTTTAGACAAGGCAATTAGAGTAAATGCAAACCAACTGCTTTTCAACAATCAGATAATGTTCTCATCCTTTCAAAAGTGTAGCTTCCTCACCATCATCTTCAGCCCCTTGGAAACCTGATTGCTACCCAGGTGATTGTAGAAGGGCCGGTCGGTCCAGTGAGTGCTATTATGAGTTACAGAGTTTGTGCGTTGCCGGTTCATCTTAGCAATCATGGCCTTTTCTTCTTTCTGTGAAGGGAAATATAAAACCAGAGCAGTATTACGGTCCATGCTTTTAATGTCATAGCCATTAACTAGTTTGTCTTTTGACGTCACATTTCCCTGAATTTATCTATTCAGCTACTTTGCATCCATCTACTGCCCTGCATCATGTGAGTCAGAATCACTTGTTGAGTACTAGGTGTTTCTTCTTGAAAAGGATGTGCATATTAAAGGAGAATCATAGCTCGTCAAAACCATGTGTTGTTAATGTGCGATTCAAAATACAAAAGAGCAAGGACACGCTAAAATGTATGAATTCAAAAATTGAACTGACATGGATTCTCACCCGTTTCTGACTGCAGCCCACAATGAGGTAGGTTTCAATGTTGTGCTTCTTGAGATAGATATTTCTTTCTCCACCAAATCCAGGTTCCACATCATAATCCCCATTTAGGTAGTTCAGGGTAGCCTTGGTGATATGGATACGCCTGAGATGATAAAAACAACTTTCATTTGTGCGGAAGTTACCTGAACTCAATCAAAAGCGGCACATTTGAATTCAGAATGGAATACAGGAGTATGTACGCTCTCAGAAAAAAGGTACAAAATCTGTCACTGGGGCTGTACCTTTTCAAAAGGTAAACTTTTGTCTATTTTAGGTGCTAATATGTATAATTTTAGGTGCTAATATGTACATTTTAGGTGTTAATATGTACATTTTAGGTGCTAATAAGCACATTTTAGGTGTTAATTGTACGTTTTAGGTGTTAATATGTACATTTTAGGTGTTAATATGTACATTTCAGGAGGTAATATGTACATTTCAGGAGGTAATACGTCCATTTTAGGTCCTAATATGTACATTTTAGGTGCTAATATGTCCATTTTAGGTCCTAATATGTACATTTTAGGTGCTAATATGTCCATTTTAGGTCCTAATATGTACGTTTCAGGAGCATATGCACATTTTAGGTACTAATATGTACATTTTAGGTGTTAATATGTACATTTTATGCGCAAATATGTCCATTTTAGGTCCTAATATGTACATTTTAGGTGCAAATATGTCAATTTTAGGTGTTAATATGTACATTTTATGTGCTAATATGTCCATTTTAGGTCCTAATATGTACATTTTAGGTGCTAATATGTCCATTTTAGGTCCTAATATGTACGTTTCAGGAGCATATGCACATTTTAGGTACTAATATGTACATTTTAGGTGTTAATATGTACATTTTAGGTGCTAATATGTCCATTTTAGGTCCTAATATGTACATTTTAGGTGCTAATATGTCCATTTTAGGTCCTAATATGTACATTTCAGGAGCAAATATGCACACTTTAGGTACTAATATGTACATTTTAGGTGTTAATATGTACATTTTAGGTGCTAATATGTCCATTTTAGGTCCTAATATGTACAGTTTAGGTGCTAATATGTACATTTAAGGTGCTAATATGCACACTTTAGGTGTTAATTGTCCATTTTAGGTGCTAATATGTACATTTTAGGTGTTAATATGTACATTTCAGGAGGTAATATGTCCATTTTAGGTCCTAAAATGCACATTTTAGGTACTAATATGTACATTTCATGTGTTAATATGTACATTTTAGGTGCTAATGTCCATTTTAGGTCCTAATATGTACATTTGAGGTGCTAATATGTCAATTTTAGGTCCTAATATGTACATTTCAGGAGCTAATATGCACATTTTAGGTACTAATATGTACATTTTAGGTGTTAATATGTACATTTTAGGTGCTAAAATGTACCACTAAGGTACCAATATGCATCCTTTGGGTACAAAAGTGTATACACATCATTTTCTTTTATAAGATATCAGCTATTTTCATATGGATTTTGATTGGATCGATATCTACAATATTTAATGACAATTCTTTCAATTCATATATGAAAACCAGTTAGACGATTAATTAATAAAATAAAGCTAAAACAATTTAAATACATGTTTAAACGGCTCAAAAATAAATAAAACACAAATTTATACAAATAATTTATACAAATAAAACACAAAACTGTTGACGGTTAAACCCATTGTATTGTAGACCTGTCATCCTGAAAACTAAATTCATGAGTCATATTAATGATATATTTACTTAAACAAAAGGAAAAAAAGTACAGTATGAGCATTCATAATTTATAGTCTTTAATAATAAACACAAAGCATACAGTAACTCAGGGGCGTAGAATTTAGTAAGGACGCGTCCCTACCCATATCCAGTGACACTGATATATCCCTAGCATTAATTTTGATCAAAACTTAAAATACATTTATATATTGATGTCCCCGTCCCCACCAATTTCAAAATCAAAGCTACGCCACTGCAGTAACTTCTTCGCTTTGTATAACATTTTTATTTTGAATTTAATTTGATTATTTAACTTGGTTAATTTGATCCATTCTATGTGACTTTAAATACTATTTGTAACAAAAAGAAGGAAATAATAGGAAATAGGTAATAATTAATCACATAATCCAGTCAAATGGGAAACATTTTACAGTACGGATCGGTTACACAATTTGTAATATATTTTCAAAATGAAAATTTTAAATTATTTGTTCTCATAAGTTCATGCAGTATGAACATAAAATTATTGTTTACACTACCTATTGTCTAATGCTCATTGTACATCATGATATCTTAAACATGTATGAATTGAAAAGAATTATTTTTGTTTTGTTAAATATTGTAGATATCCATCCAATAAAAATCCATGTGAAAATAACTCTCATCTAATAAAAGAAAATTATGTGTTTTGCACCTGGATATATCTCATTTTCTACCTTCCATTTGTATAGTGTGTCAAACACATTATGGAGCACTTACTTTTTTTTGGAAAATAAAACATTTATCATAAAAGAAAAGTTGATTGGATTGTGGAAGCACTATGCATAATTACATAATATATAATATAACATAATATTATGCATCATACAGCTGTGTTTTTTAAATATAATTTTATAATTTAATTTCTATATATAATATTCTCTATTTCGTGTTGATGTTTATTTTTTTAAAAATTGCAAAAATCACACACTTTATGATTTAAGTATATTAAGAAATTTGGTAGTAGTAGTAAATCAGTCAGGTATTACATTCAGAAATACTATGTACAGTATACATACTACAGAAAGCTATGCTACTGTAGTATGTTATTGCAAACAAAACTATGGTGAAGAAAGTTAACTGGAGAGGCACTTAGAGACATTTTCAGATTTTAAAAGTCAAGAGTCTCAAGGAGTTCAGGTGAGAAAACATGACCAAAAAATAAAACTAAAATTCATGAACCCACCCTGCTTCGCCCCCAGCTTCCATGTGATTGGCCAAGGTGACATCGTTGGACCAGACATCAAACTGCCACTTCCTTAATCCCAGCACCCCGCAGTGGACGCGCCCGCTGTGTATACCCACACGCATGTTGACGTTGACCCCAGTGACTTCCCTCACCAACCTGAAGCACAAGGACAAAACATGTAGATATACCTGCTGTTATTTTTGTGAATCATTTATTTGTATACCATGCATCAACAATATGCTAAATTTGAACTCTAAAGGTCACACTAAACTTCTAGTATTACTAGAAAGAAGCTGTTTAGATGTAAACTTTGTTGAAGCACATAGGAAGAATGACATAAGTTCTGTCACTTTTTATTGAAGCTGTCCTCTATTTGAGGAGAAAAACTTACTAAACTTGGTGTCAGCAATCAATTGAACTGAGAAGAATGTGAATGTGTCCCAAAATGTCCAGGGGAATCTGTGAACAATTGACTTTATATATATATATAAGCTTTTGGGTAAGTTATAAGCGGGCTAAATTTGTGATCATTTTCTTTAAATGGTGGGTTTCTCTTTGCTAGCTTTCCCTTTTTCAATTCAATTGTCCAATTTATCAGTATTTCCTACACTTTGACCCCGGCACATTTTATCCCACGGCTACCATTTTTGTATACATGGCATAATTCATTACCTTACCCATTGACACATCTCATCTCACTTCATTATGAAACAGTCATAAACTGGATTAGCGCTACCTTAAATGCACCTTTCCACTCAGCACATCAACAAGTTAACACAGCACATTATGATCCCGACATCACACAGCAAACAAGCCATCAAACTCCTTTGAACATTGAGGGCGACAGACAAGTCTGCGGAAAATAGTCTCGTCCTGTGATGGGGCGCTGAGGCGGTTGGCTGCAGCTCAGAGAAACACAGACACGTGCTCATTGGAGCAGAAAGCCAGTCATCACTGCCATTCCTGCCTTAACAAACAACTGCTCAGAGATACTGAACATTAGAGAAGTCAGGCCTGTGGACACGTTCACATGCACGCAAGACAAATAACTTGGATACAACTCAATTAAGAGACCCACAGGACAGGCAGGACAGACCCACACAGAGGGTAATTCAAAGTTTCTAGAAAGAAACGTAATGCTTAGAAGAGTTTAGTCACGATTAGTAAGGCAAGTAAATAAGATTAAGTGTTCTCTCTCTCAGCTCAGCCTTTCTGTGAACCTTCATATGGCAGTAATATCCGCACTTTCCATGAACAGGGGACAAAATAGGGCCCGAAACTCCTAAAAAAAGCATTTATTGAGTCAGTTAGTCTGTGCAAGGATGCCACTTCAGACCCTTCAGAAGATGTTGATCAATGTGCAGTGGTCTGAGCTGTTGTTGTTGGTGCGTCCTACGATGTGAATAGATGCCGATCCTTGAAGCACATGGCCGGCCACAGGCGTCGCACACAAACTGGCTAGATGTTGTTGTCAATGTGCAGTACATTTCAAACGAATTCAAACGAAATATTATGAGCAGATTTATTTTAGGTTTTCAAATTTTAACCCTGTTATCAAAATGTCTAAATATAGTTTAGGAATTTGCAATTTTCGAGAAATAAAACATCAAAGGTAAAAAGGAATAAGGAATAAGTCTCCTACAACAGGTTTAATGCGTCAAAGGTCAAATATGCTTTTACTTTCTCATAATATACATTGCACATCACCACATTTTTTCAATGATTCTCAAATGACTCGTCCGATGATTTAGTCTCTCTAAATCCCTCCTCTCTGCGAGCCTACTCTGCTCTGATTGGTCTACCGCTTACAGTGCTTTTCGGAAATCAAATGTCCATAACCATGGACAGAAGGGAGGTTCAGTCTTTTTACAGCTGGTGTGACTCAAACTTTTTGAAGCTGAACGTATGGAAGATTAAAGAACTTGTGATTGATTTTAGAAAGAAAAAAGAGAAATTAAAGGTGCAGTGTGTAATTTTCAGTGACATCCAGCGGTTCGGTTGCGAGTTTGATATGACAATGACATGATTGTAATAGCGCGCGCACATCCGCATCTTATAGACACCATTTACTACACACAATAGGATTTTTTCTCTGATTTTGAAAACTCTTCGCGATCGACTTAAAATGCTTCCAAGATCGACTTGTCGACCGCTCGACGGGTTGGTAATTCCTGTAACATACTGTATTACGGTAAGTTATACACTGACGACGGCGTCAATCTTACCATATCAATCCGAGGGCGGGTCCGAAGCAGGGGCGTAGCCAGTATTGGGCCAGGGCGGCACTGGCCCGCCCACATTACTCATTGGCCCGCCGAGGCAAGTTTGATAAAGATACATTTTTAGTTTATTTTTATTATTCAAATGTATTTAAGAAAATATATTAATATATACCCGATTTATTGTTGACTGCTGTGTGTGTTTAATTTGTTTCCCGAATAAAATGGGAGTTGTAGAAAGCCTCCCTCCGGAACGTTATTGGTTGCTATCAAGCCTGCCACACAAGCCCTCAAAAGTGAAGCCAAAACGTCTCGATCGCCCCTCTGTGACCGGACCTAGTATAGCTCATAACCCCCGCCTCCCAATGTTATTCAATGGGACGCGAGACCAACTAAAAGATTAAATTACACTTCACATATCCTTTTTCCAAAGATAGTTTCTGTCATTTACTATAGTTTCTATCACGTTGATGTAATTTCAAGTGTTCGTTTTTAAAATAAGATTGTTTTTAGTTAGTTATGTGATGATAAAAACGGTGCTCTGACATCATGATTGACAGGTTCTCTGTGCGAGGTAGTCATTGAAGCACCAGCGGACTTTTTTTTAATAATGTTGATTATGTGGTTAGTAGTTGTATTTACCTTATTTTAACGAGGTTCTGCAATCAGCAGACATCATTGGAGAAGAACAAAGCAGACAGAGGACACTTAATGAAAGTGCGGGGCGTGTGCTTGCGTTTGATTCAGCGAGAATGAGGGCGCGGCCTTGATTTCGCGGCTTTACTTTCTGCTCACGACTGCGCATGACTGGTCCCGAAACACGCAAGTGCGCAGACTCAAGTTCCAAGATGTCAGCGTCATATCGAGACAATTGTGTTACACAGTGGCATCACGGAAGTGGGATTTGGATTACGACTCGTTTAGGCAGTTCAGAGTTGATTCTATCGTTTGATAGACAATGACTTTATGTATCGTGCATTTTCGGCTTCACAACTTTGCATATCTTTTACATTCACAGACAGCTACATTACACATTGCATGAAAGGTAATATTCTAAAAAGCATAATGAAGCACTTTAAATGGAGGAAACCATACTATTATAATAAAATATGATAATAACGACGGACTTGTACGGGACATCAAAGTGTATCTATATTGGTGGAAAGTGTCAGGTCCTGCTTCACCATAGCGTCTCTTGTGTGTCTCCCGGGAGGCATTTAAAACAAGACACAAAAGCCTTGCTGTTCCTGTCTGATGAACAGAAGCAACACTGTAATACTCACGAGATTGCTTCGATCATGTCCACACCCATCTCTACGCAGCAGTGCGCATGGTCGGCACGGGCCTCGGGCAGCCCCGACACGCAGTAGTAGCAGTCGCCCAGGATCTTAATCCGCAGACAGTGATTCTCCTGCGGACACACAGAGAATGACCAAACAGTGAAAAAGATTGGGCTGGTGTAAACCAGGTCAACAAATTTTGGATGTAACTGTAGTTCACCATGTTTGTATTAGTTTCTATAAAACCTATACTCAAAGGTGAATCTCATACTGGGAATGTGTTACATTAGCCTTTCCGCCATTAAAGCCCCTTCACATACCGCACATGGTTTTTCCTTTAAAGTGTGCGATTTTCACAGGGAAAACTCAAAATCCCAAACGGCTGTTCCCAAATGGCTTTAAAAAAGGTCAGATTTGAATCGGTCTACAGTGTATTTGTTTATGTACTAAGTTTGGCATCCCACTATCATGAATTCAAAAATCCAACCCAATTTGTCCTGATATTTTCCTTGGAAAACATGAGTAATCGCAACAGAAAGATTAAAAAAGGCAATAAAATATTTTTAAAAAAATAAAACTCATATATCAGGCTTTTACTGTGTTTTTGCATTCTTTTTGAAGCTTGAGACATAAAAGAAGGACAAGAATTTTGTTCAAACATTGGAAGGAACATACGGTTGAATAAACAATGACAGAAATTAGAGGAGAAAGAAAAGAAACCAGTGAAGAGCAGAAGAGGAAGCCTTGGGCTGAGCACAGGACTTACAGCAGCAGGCCTGGGTCTTATGACAGCCACCTGAATGTCACCCCTTGATTTAACCCGCTGCCTATACAACAACCTCTATTGTTGATAATCAGGGCGAAGTGTGCATTTATACGTTTTGTGTCTTTGCTCGAAGGTTTTGGGAAGTGCGCAAACATCTAAACAGACACCAAATGGTTTCCACACGTTGAGCGACACCTCTCTGCAGCAGCAGAGTATATGTACATGAATGCATGGCAACTTGGCAGCGATGAGTCACCACCACTGGTGGAGATAACAAGGAGATAGTTGGGCTGGAAAACAGCGGGAAGCTCAGTGTGAGACGCGTGATCGCAAGCACTCATTTGACAGGAGGGAGGGCTTGTCTATCCCAGTCAGCAGTGTGAGTGGGATGCAAACGGAATTAATACGATTGCATCTCAGCTTGCCATCGTGTTTTGCTAAAAAAAGGAAAAAAGGGAAAGCTGCTTGGCTGAAGGTGTGGGCTCTTCTATGGACACTTACAGCGGCTAGTTTGTCGAATCGTGCGAAGAGCTCGTTGAGGGTCATCACTAACTCCTGGGCAGTACACTGGGAAGCCAGACTGGTGAAGCCCTCAATGTCAGCAAAGAGGATACTGCCGATAGAGAGAGAAAGAAATGTTAAACAAAGTTGAAGGTTTCATCAGCTATTGGTACTTTTATATCTTAGATGTTGAAAACTAACACATTCTCATCCCAAGACGTCATCTAACTAACGTTTTTGACCATACGTCAACATCCGACGTTTTAGGGTACCCTTTAACGTCAGTTAGATGACGATCCTAGGGCCTATAGCGTCATCTAACTGACGTTAAAGGGTGCCCTAAAACGTCGGATGTTGACGTATGGTCAAAAGCGTCAGTTAGATGACGTCTTGGGATGAGAACGGGCTGTGAAAACGAACAGATTTCAGTGTTTTTCTTGTTTTTGTATGAAGGTCTCATTAGATCCGTTTTGAAACACCCATTCTCCAAGACCTTCAATACTAAAAATCCATCATAATATGGTTAATTGTTATATAAAGATGATAAAATAATAAATAAATAAACAAATACATTTAAATATTAAATATATGTAATTCCCGCAATTGTGGCATTCATTTCAAGCAAACATTTCGTCTCAGTTCCAAAATCACAATCACTAACGGACCCTTTCTCAATACCAAATACAGCATGTTATTAATATAAAATAATATTTATTGAAAACTAATATTTAAATAATCAATATTAGCCATTATAAAAGTATAAGAAGTTTATACAATAGGAAATAACCAGCAAACAGTTGAGTCAAAAGTGCAAAACGAGAGCTAGTTATAGTTAAGGATTTCAGTTAAATAAAAATATTGAATTGTGAAACTTAACTTTGCCCTTAAGCAATTCGATTTGCTCTGGAAAAAGTAATAGATTAATAAGACCAAAGATTGCACGATTGATATACCCAAAATGAATTAAACCTTGAGTTTAAAGGGATACTCCACTTTTTTTGTAAATAGGCTCATTTTACAACTCCCCCAGAGTTAAACAGTTAAGTTTTACTGTTATGGAAGTCAATGAGACCAGAAACTGTCTTGTTACTGATATTCTTCTAAATATCAGAAAATCGGCTGAATGGATTCGAAAACGGTAAAACTCAACTGTTTAACTCTGGGGAAGTTGTAAAATGAGCCTATTTCCAAAAAAAAGTGGAGTATCCCTTTAAACAACATAAGAGCCAGCGGCAAATTAGCAAAGGATTGGCCGAGATAAATCTGTTCTCGGAGGGTGCATGAACGTTAAAAATGGCTGCTTATGGCCTTGAGTTCACATCTCCAAAAACGTCTTACTGTCAAAAAGCCGCTATGTTTGCATACAAGTCGCATCTTTGAGGTCTAAATGACTACATTCTCGCTGTGACACTATAGTATTTGTAAAATTACGGTGTTTGCTTGTCCGCCATGACATGACCAAGAAATCCTGCAAGCAGTGATACAAATGGTGAAACGTTACCTGTGGTAAAACTATTGGATACTAGTAGAATATCTAATAGTCAATCAGAATAGAGAACCAGCGTTGTGGATAAAAGCATTTGCCAAATGAATAAACCCAATAAAAAAGCAGGTCATTCTCATTTATAATCTCAGGCTCTCATCCCCTCACATTAGTGCGGTGCACATTCACCTACAGTGTGTATTACACGGTTGCCACGGTTACCTGGATGACAATTGAAACCCTCGCCCACAGCTATTCATTTCAATTGAGCATTTGCGAGGCAGACTTTACATATACAATATGAGCTAACTAATGTGATCCCAGCATCACAGCTCCATTACCATGCCAATGGCACAGCAGACAGGTCCGTTTGGGAGTGCGCACTCTCTATAGCAACAGATGACATTCACATTAAGAGAATGTTGGGCCTACAGAGACAAGAAAGTGAATAAAGCACGATTTTCCCCTGTGGGATCCGGTAACAGATATGGTTCTTCTTTGTGCACCTTGAATGAAAGATAAAACAAAACCTTGTGGGCTTGTGGGCGACTTGTCCTATTCAATATTCGTCTATAGAGCTTTTGCTAAATGCTGACATTGATCTAGCTTTATTTCAAACAGCTCTGGGCTGGTCTGACACTCAAGTTGCGTGACAGGTTCCGGGTGAGCGTGACCCCTCCATTCAGATTCAATATCAAAGATGATTCCCAGAAATGTTTAAAATGGGCCCAGAAGGCAGGCTGTTTTTGAACAAAAAAAAACTCAACTCATGATGTGCGCCACTCCCTTTTTCGAAGCACACAGGCTGCTTTGGTTGCCTGAAAAAGCCTGCTTAATGACTTTCAGTCAATCGATCTTTGTCTGGGTGAACTTTGACACTGCAGACCTTCTACATACTTTTCTACAAAAGACCCTGAAGTTCAAACCTCAATTAAATGCTAAGACGTTTCAGCTAAAATAGCAGCTTAACCATCTTAACTGAGCAGCTTAACAACTGTTAAATGTCTTCTTTTATTTGTGTACACTCCTAATAAAAACGTAAAATAAAGAAAATAAACATGATGCGCGTTCTCCCGTCTCTATCAGTGTGAAGTTTATTCTGAAACCCGACAGAAAATGACCTATAACTTAGCAAATGCTTGTCACTGTGACATGAAACATGACTTTATGAAGCTTGAAGTCTCCATTTTTAAATGATGTAAATCATATCAAAAACAAATATTCTCTAAGTAATTCATATGAAAGCAACCACATGTACATTTCCTCCAGCCCGGGCTGATTAGCGCTAATGTGACCACGCCCACACGAGCTGTCCATACGCAAATGATCCACACGGAGGAATCAGCGACTTCAGTACTGCTCTGCTTTTCATCGAGTTGTTTGTGCTGTTTACCTTGGATTTACCTCAGAAGAATTAGAAAAACACGATTTGATGATGAGAACAGTAGCATGTTATTGTGGCATAAACGTTACATTGTAGCTTCTAGTTAAACTGGTGCCTAACTAAAATGTACGTAATGAAATGTGATTGTAAAAACATGAAGCCTAATGCTAAAATGTACACTCGCCTAAAGGATCATTAGGAACACCATACTAATACTGTGTTCCATCAACAAGGTGCTGAAAGCATTCTTTAGAAATGTTGGCCCATATTGATAGGATAGCATCTTGCATTTGATGGAGATTTGTGGGATGCACATCCAGGACACGAAGCTCCCGTTCCACCACATCCCAAAGATGCTCTATTGGGTTGAGATCTGGTGACTGTGGGGGCCATTTTAGTACAGTGAACTCATTGTTCTGTTCAAGAAACCAATTTAAAATGATTTGAGCTTTGTGACATGGTGCATTATCCTGCTGGAAGTAGCCATCAGAGGATGTGTACATGGTGGCCATAAAGGGATGGACATGGTCAGAAACAATGCTTAGGTAGGCCGCAGCATTTAAACAATGCCCAATTGGCACTAAGGGGCCGAAAGTGTGCCAAGAAAACATTACACCACCACCACCAGCCTGCACAGTGGTAACAAGACATGATGGATCCATGTTCTCATTCTGTTTATGCCAAATTCTGACTCTACCATCTGAATGTTTCAACAGAAATCGAGACTCATCAGACCAGGCAACATTTTTCCAGTCTTCAACTGTCCAATTTTGGTGAGCTCTTGCAAATTGTAGCCTCTTTTTCCTATTTGTAGTGGAGATGAGTGGTACCCGGTGGGGTCTTCTAATGTTGTAGCCCATCCTCCTCAAGGTTGTGCATGTTGTGGCTTCACAAATGCTTTTCTGCATACCTCGGTTGTAACGAGTGGTTATTTCAGTCAAAGTTGCTCTTCTATCAGCTTGACTTAGTCGGCCCATTCTCCTCTGACGTCTAACATCAACAAGGCATTTTCGCCCACAGGACTGCCGCATAGTGGATGTTTTTCCCTTTTCACACCATTTTTTAAATAAAATCCAAAGAGACTTACAAATAAGAAATAAAGAGTGATTTAGACCTCTCATTCACTTTGTATTGGCACAAATTTTCGAATTGATTTTTTTTACACCGGATTTAATTATTCATATTAGATTATTGGAATTGATTTGTGTCCCTTAACATGCCCCTGTCTGTCACAATCTTCGTCTCTCCCATCACAGTCCTCACTTTCACTACATGTCCCAGCATCCTCCTTGGCTCACACCTGCACATCCTTCTCCTATTCCTGCACCTCCCAGTCATCCTCACTCATCATTGTCAGCTGTTGTTTTCGTTACTCCTCACTCAGTGTATTTAAGTTCCTCCATGTATGTGATACTCCTCGTGTTCAATTAAATTCCTGTGATTACTTTTGGGCGCTTTATACACCCAAGATCATAACACTGTCAATGCACAAAAGGACAACAAAACCCTTAACTACAATTAGCCCACTTCCTCCATGATGTCAATACACCACAATGAATTAATAATGCCAGTTCTTCATAGTAAATCAAGTGCACAAAGAGCATCATGGAATTGTATCCTATTCATAAAGACTGAAAGCTGTCTGAAAGCTGACTAAGAAGCAGCACAGGAATATCTTATTACAACAGCACTCAAAAACAACTAAGTAAAAGCATCACACAATTGTAAATTGAATTGAGCTGAATTGAATTAAATCATCTTTGTTGGCCAAGTATGCCTGAGGATGCAAGGAATTTCTCATCGATACACAAGTCTCTTAGGAGCCAAGTCAATCAAACTAAAACAAGCACTTTGACCGTTTGTATACAGTAAGTGTAAGAAAACTCTTTGTAAACCAATATTGCTATAGGTTTCTCCTATACCTTTTTGTTTCCCTGAAGTTGCAAAGAACTTTTCATTAGCACAACTTGGTCATTGGAGAAAGAGCCATGAAATTTTTAAGTATGTGACTTTGGAAAAAGGGTTCCTGTTGCCTCCTGTTGCAATTTATCATAGGAGATAATCACAGACAACTGAAAAGCATGATAATCAAAAATAAACACATTAGAAATACATTTTAAATGATACCAGATTAGCAGATTTAAAGGAATATTTCATGCAAAAATGAAGATTTTGTAAAAAAAAAATATCCTTTAGAAATGACATGAGGGTGAGTAATTGATTCATTTTCGAATTAACCAACTAT